TCATTTTTCAACAAATATAGGCTCACGTGACATGTGACGCGGGGCAGGCAATTTTGATCTATCGTAGACCATATCAGTATCAAATTGCCGATATTTCAACCTCGTCTTGCCTTGCGAGGCCATTTTGATTTGAAACATCTTGAATTTGGTGTCAAAATAAAGCTGGTCATGCCCACTTTCAGAGTTATCAATGAATCATTTACTACGTCTACTATATTCATTAAGGAGGCGTGTAATGTTAACCAATCAGAAAGACAATTGTTCCATAAATGGCAGTTCATTAACATATTCAGTGTTTACTCCTGCTTTTCGCGTCATGACAACACGAGTAGTAACCAATCAAGATGCCATATTTTATCACGCTAGTTCAGAGTGACAAGCACACGACATGTAGTCTGAGCTGATCGCGATGTTGAACAATTTCTTCTCGGGATTTGTCCAGAGAAATCAGCGATTCTAAATTAAGGTAGGATCTACCATTTCTTCCTGTACAAGTTATAACCTATCTCTATCGATCCTTAAAGTTTTGGATGAATATATGAAGCATACGTTTAAAAACGAAGCGGTTAATTTGACGATCTGATTTTGCAATTTGCAATGGCCAATTTACTGCAAGTATATGTGTATTTGACAAGAGATAGTGCCAAGTCTTGTATCTAAATGCTTGTTAAGCCAGTCAAAAACAAGTTCCATATTTTCTAAATTTGATATCTTTTGCAGAAAACCTGTTTTCATAACCTGTTTTCCGCGTCTAAATTCAAACTGAGTAGGATAATAGGATCGCTGGGATCCTCAGTCAATGGCAATGGGTCTTTCCAGAACTCACATTTTTAGTTGATTCTCCGTTTGTCCAGAGGTTTGTCTAAAGTCCCCACATCTGCTCTCTTACTGGCATACTTACTTGGACACATTTCCCCTCCTTAAATTATCATCAGTCAAATTACACCCTCTCGCCGATTTATATTGCCATATCCCAGAACCCGGGAATCAGAATCGCTGATGATTGCCATATTGAACATGTTGAAATATGTACTGTAATCAATCTGTAATGCTAGGCATTGCCTGCTACGCGTAATGGTCACGTGACTAGCGCGATACAGGAAAAATGAAGTTTTTCGAAACAACAATTTTTGGGCACTTTTATTGCAAATTTCAGGCATTTATAAGTGTTTATGGTATAAACTATAATCCACCGACAGAAATGAACATCCAAACTACATATTTTATTAAGTTTTGGAGCCTTTTTTGCTTTTAAATTAACATCTTTAAAGAAATAAGTAACAGTGAATTCCCACTAGGCAGCCAGTTTGACTTTTCTGAGGCACAAATCAGAAAAACAATACCATAATTGTAATCTACCCCATATTTCCTTCAATTTGAGTATAATATAGCCATACTTTGAAGAGTTCAGAAAATTATTGGGAAATCCCACATAAGGTGGCCATTATGAATTTTACGAGGCCCAAATCAGAAAAATGATACTATATTTGCATTAATTATTGTGAAATCCCACATTAGGCGGCCATTTTGAATTAGAAAAACGATACAAAATTTGCAATCTACTCTACATTTGCTTTCATTAGAGTATAATAAAGCTATACTACACCCCAAAATCAATGCTCTCTATTGCACATTCAAAAGTTTGCGTGAGACCCCCCCCCCATGCGGGCATGAGTGGGGAATTTGACCAAAAAATGTTGGCCTGTCTATTTCCTTTACACCAGGGCCAAGGCCAAATAAATGTGTCAATTTCCCTACCCTTGAAGCAATAAATCTGGTCAAATATTCGCGATCCCTGGGTCCTTCCACCATTTGAAATCTATTTTTGCACTTCAGATTTCCTTGTTAGTAGGCTGATGCTTGTGAATATTGAGGGATACACGTGCAGTTCTTTGTTTATGTCAATATTTGAATTAGAAACACCATATATGGTCATAAGATTCTTCAAAATTAAAAGCAAATGAGAATACAGTCCATTTTATGACATTTTCGCAAACTGCCTGAAAGTTTTGACAAAAATGAGCTGAGAGGGACATGGTTTGTATCTGTTCAACAAAAGTAGAGAACAAACCTGTATGAACGATAATTTTTTGTGGAATGGGCAGGCGGATTGTTGCGTTTGATAGGTACAATTCGGGAACAAATCCACATCGTAGTAATTTTGGAAAGGTCTCTTGTAATTTATGCAAAGACGTATTTTAAGGTAATGGCTTTTTACTTTAATAGGCTACCTCTCTCTGTTTTATTCATCTATATCAAATTAAATTAAATTAAAATTTGTTCGAATGTAAAATGTTTCAAAAATTAATTTTAAATTAAATTAATCATCTATATTAAAGGGCATTAAATCAATTAAATATAAAGCTTAATATTAAAGCTTATAAATATAAGTAGAACGCGGTAGTGCATTTTTCCGAAGGGAGGGCAAAAACCAATAATTAAGACACTGCTCAGTATTCTAGAATTCCTCTCTCTCCAGCGGTTATTCATGGCGATTCCACCCCTGAAACTATACCCAATGTGTAGATGAGTTATTTTCTTCTGTTCCCGATATGAGCGATCTTTAGTTCAGGCCAAACAAAAATATATGTCCGTTTCCGGAACCCCGACCGATCCTAGTTTGAATCCCCGACCCTAAGACATTTTTTAGTACACTGAAAAATAAAATATTCTATCTCTGCCCCTACTCGATCGAATCAATACATTTTCTTCTGAAATGTTTTACATCAGGCCCAGGTGTCCATATTTCTCATACTCTGGAACATTTACAGCAATATTATTGTTAGGGCCCCCAAAGCACTTGAAACACAGGAAATATTGTTTAATTTCTTCGCCATTTTTGCTCTTCAAAATAGAGACCCGCAATCAACTCCCAGAGGGGTCTAGCAATTGCCTTAGATCTTCAAAAAAGAGGCTCACTATTGACTCCCAGAGGGGTCTAGCAATTACTCTAGATCTTCAAATTAGAGGTCAGAAATATAAAAACAGATTTCTAAATAAACTTAATAACAACCAAGTTGTTTATTTAGTTCAATATCTGAAGGTTTTAAGTAAGTATGGATCAAATGATTGTAGACTGCATGATGAATATATTAAGGTCTCATGGCAGTTAAGAGCAAATGACAAAACAAGAGATGACAAAAAACATAAGATAAAATATTTTTCTGACTGACCTAGCCTAAAACAAACTGAGTAAAATTTTAGTGAAAAATGGAGCAGGAAACAGACATATATTTTTGAGAATCCTAAAGTGTATACTGGACGAAACAGATAAAGTCAAAAGTCCCCATTCCCGGGCACATGTATATCAATTTCCCCACCCACGGGACGACCATCTTTGTCAAATTCCAACCCCTGGGGGCAATATTGTGTATCAAATTCCTTACCCTCCCATGGGCGTAGCGCCTTTTACGCAAAATACACACAGGCGTACCAAATGAATTTGAAAAAATTAAAAATGTGTTAAAATGCATTAATTTATTTGCGAAATTATTGATGCTTCTTGCCGTATCTGTATTTTTACCATCGTCAACATTTAAAGTTGATAAAAAAACGCTTAGACCATTCCATCAAATAACATACTTGAAAAAAGTTTTCCCGGGGGAGCATCTCACGCAAACTTTTGAATGGTGCATATGAATCATAGGCTTTCAAGAAAGCCAAAGTATAAATATAGCAATGTCTATGTTCATTTGTGGTATCTTTTTTTCACGGTAAGCCAATGTTAAGGTTCAGCTGGAAAGTAACATTTTGGTAAAAAATTGCTATACCTGCACATGTTATTTTCTGGTACAAAATTAAGTATGAAGGCATGTGTGTGTTTCCTTGCTTTTTTCAGGAAAGTATCATTACACTGTCTACTTTTAGTAAACCTGGAAACAGGTCAATGGTAGCTCCTGTGTTGTCTGGAAACTTTGAGAGAAAATTTGGAAAAAAAGAAATTGTGAAATACAGTGGGGATCATAAAGAATTGCAAAAGCTATGAAAATTACATGCTGTCGCACATGTAATAAATTCTTACCTCAGTGTATTCAGTGCTCTATTTTCTCCGTCTTAGTAAGTCCAAATATAGTGGAATTTGTGTCCCTAATGACAAATAAGAACTTCAAAAGTTGAATTGGATATTCACATGTTATGCCGACTCTTCAAATAATGAGGTGATTTTGTCGCCCGATTGCGCCAGAACGGAGGATTGGCTCCCAGAATGCAACATGACACGTGCCAGCTTTCAAAATGCTGTTCCGCCATTTTGAAACCTGTCATGAGTAAATACGGTTAACTGATGTTGCATTCTGGGAGTCCACCGTCCTTGGATAACAAACATGGCGATTCATGAAAACATTCATTCGATTTGGTAGGGATTTATCCATTATTTGCAGGTATGAAGCTTTGGATTCATTTATTGTGCTACTTTAGTGAACGGGAATTATTTTTCTACCGCTTGGGAGAGTGTGAGACAAGAAACTTGGAAATAAGCTCATTGTGACAACTTGTGAACGTTGAGTTTTATTTTTGTCCCCCACTGTATCAGAATTTCCTGGAGTTCCCATTGAACTCCTACTAAATATTCTTAAAGAAGACAGTGTAATGATACTTTCCCCAAAAAAGCAAGGCAATTGACACATGTCTTCATACTTTATTTTGTACCAGAAAATAACATAGCAATTTTTTACCAAAATGTTACTTTCCAGCTGTACCTTAAGTTTTTGAATAGGACTGCATGGTCTGAATGGATGCAACAGTTCTATGGACTGAGATTTGAGAAATCATAATCATTTTAACTTTGTCAATTCAATATGTATCTCAAAGGAGTAGGTTTATTTCGATCTCAATGAAATACAAGATTTTGATATCTAAAAAAATGGGCGATAATAGGTTGATTCGAAAATTTTAAAAATTCAACACAGGGTTACATATGATTACACGGATTTTCGTAGTTTGAAGTACTATGGAATTGAAAAATTAATACTTAAAATATGTATTAATCAAGATTTACTTACATAGGGCTTATATTTCGAGTATTAACGTGGAATATTCGACAGCAATTTGTCAGGGCAGCTTTCCCGGCCATGGCGAACTAGTCGAGCAGTATTAATATTGTAAGCGAGCAACTGCCTGAATGTCAATGTGTCCGTGCGGTCCTGGATTTCATACGATTTCACACTATTGATTCGCTGAAAAGTCCATGTTTGCATACGCGGGTACAACGGGTACAAAAATTATCCGACTTGAAATAAATATTGATATGAACGGGAGGGTAAACTACTAACGGTATTATTTCAATCAGAGACATATTTTCAATCTATAATTTTGTAATACGATTAAATGGCTTCATACTACTTCAAATGCAATGTGGACGTGGACTCATTAGGGGAACATGGGGCAAAACGGCCCTCTGGGGCAAAGTGGCCCATCGAAATATCTTTTGAACTATAAAAAGATGGTTCTTCAAAAATCACAAAATCGAATTTTGAAATATCTGCCACCTTCTCGACCGTCCATTTTTAACCAAGCAGCGTCTCGCTTTACGTAAGAGGTAATTCTACTTTCCACCCTCTTTTTAGGAAATTACCCCTCTCACGAGAATCTCTAAAAAATCCGGCAACAATAGAATATCGTTTTGATTTAACATTTTACATAGAGTGTGCACATTTATTCTTTATTTGTAAAAATTTCGAGCTTCAAATATTAGGCAAATTAAAATGACGTCTATTTGAAAATTCACATGTCTTTGGGGCAAAACGGCCCACACATGTTATAACATACAAAAATCTTATTGTGCTTGAACAATTGGTTTTCAAATGTAACAATTTTAACATCTGGCTTGTGCCTTATTTCCTTCCGACACATATCGAATGACTAGAATTATGGTAGGGGTTAAGAATACTTTATCTGTCAAAGGTTTGAACGTCTGAGATAAGATGTTTGTGGACGAGTCTTGTAATTGATTAATTTTGGTTTCAAAACCCATGTAACAGAGGGTGGGCCGTTTTGCCCCACCCATGGGCCGTTTTGCCCCACTCTCGACAATATTTTTGACCATTGAAAAATCACAGAAGATAGTCCTAGGAAAGTATAAAACATTCGAAAAATGTAAACCACAAACCATTTATAAAGTGGAACATCAAAGTGCGCGATGATTGACAGATACGAAAATACCCCGTACAGAACAACTTAAAATTAAATTTTTTGGGCCGCTTTGCCCCATGTTCCCTTACTCATTTTAGATTGGTAGCTAGCTAGGCCTTCTAAGATTTGCCATGAAGAAATCCTCGGCCTCTTGAAAATAATTTTGTCATAGCCTTCATTTGCTTTTGCAGCTTTATAGAAACTAATAAGGGACTGTACGTATGTATGTTTGTTATATTATTTTAATTCAGATCGATGTACAAACACAAAGCAGTCCATATTGCTCTATAAATAGCCAGCTAAATGCCCTAAATGGAGCCCTCTAAATAGGAGCCAGGACTCGTATAGATGGCAGTTAACTACTAGGTTGTTCTCCACAAACAAACCCGTTGGTTTATGTTTTAAAATTGCTGTTTTGAAACTTCAAATTCGGCTCTATCAGAAATATCATATTTTCCTAGATTTTTAAGATTCAAAATTAGAAGTTTTTATTTTTCAATAGATTTTATATTGGCAGATTTTTGGAACATTTTTTACATGTTAAAGTATGCTATTTTTCGCCATCTATTGACAGTCCTGAAGCCCATTGGGTGAGGGGGATTTAATCTAAGCATCGATGATAGAAACAGCGTTCAATCCGTGTTCAATGAAGTTTTTTTAGTATTGCTTCAAGACCCCACCCCACTTTCAACAAGTTGTTAAAGTAAGCTTAGATGGGGGGGGGCAGGTTCTTGAAGCTTGAAGACTAAAATGTTTTATCTATTGCGTCGGACTGCACATTTTCACATCAGTCAAAACAATTATCCAACGACTGTAATTCATTAATTTCATTAAGCTCTTACCCTTCGCAAAAGCTCGATATCATCTACTCTCTTTCAATCAGAGTAAATCATTTGATCTTGGATATCCAATCGGAATACAGGGGCGAATCTTGGAACCAACAATGGGGGGGGGGGCAAATTTCAGGTCAGAGAAAAAAACTTCCGAAAAAATTTTGGGCCCCTAAAACCCCAAAGTGGGCCCAAATTTTGAGGCCCATTTACATCATCTATGATAGTCAGAGGGATTGTGGATACTGTTGCGGATCCAGGGTGAATCTGGTCGAACCCAACTTTAATTTTTTTACACTTGACAATAGCCTAGGGACTGATTGACTATTGTTACATTAATGGACGACGTTTAACTGTTTTGTTACTGTAGGTAAAAGTTTTATATCGTGTATTAGATGTGAAAAAATAGCCTCGAAACAGCTGCATTTAGTATTTATATAATTCAGTTCTTTCAATAATCAGTGATACGATGACATATCAGCAAAATATGTACAATTAATATAATTATTCACATTTATTGCAAAAATAGGAAAATGGGATTTAAATGTTGAACCAGCTGATTGTATTCAAGTTTTTCATATAAGGACAGTTGGCATATATCATGCTGCGATAAAACAAAAACAGTAATGCATCCTCTCAGATGTACTGAAATAATATATTTAATAGATACAAACTAATCTACCTAATCGTTAACAAGTCAGTAATAATGTTAAATTAGTAAAACCCGTATTGCAGATACGCATACCAAATTACCAATGATGAACTAGCACAGGATGGATACACCATAATGTGAAAAAATATGGAAATACTAACTCTATGTTACATTTAACAATTAATGATAATAGACTCGCTTACATCGAAATACCAAACATGCCCTCGGCGGGGTATGAACAGTTTGAAGAAGAGGGCGGCGCACAAGAGAAAACAGTTGAACTTAGTTTCTATAAGAACAGAGCTAATTGGTACCAATGGCGAACTTTGACTCGCATGTTCGCCTCAGAAATATTTGGGACGGGCTCAATGGTGATGATGGGACTATTAACCAGGTCTACTGGGGGTCCAGTGCTACACATGGCACTGTCTTGTGGGTTATCTATGTTCTTACTAATGGCGGCGTTGATGCACGTAAGGTAATTATCCCTCAGAAATATTAACGTACAATGAGTAACCTATCATGACAGCACAAATCTACAGATTGTGTAATAAATCGTACGAGTCGTACGATCCTGAAAGTGTATTAATAAATCAAATCAAACCATAGGCTAAAGGTTTAAAATTAGAAATGAAAAATGAACATAAAGTTACAAACAATAAATGTTTATTATCAACTGAAATTTTGCCAATGGCCCTGATGTATAAGGTTTATGCGGAATAGGAAAAATATTACAAAAAACAATTATATCTACTGGATTTTCAATCAATATTTTAAAATAATGCTCCATTTTATACCTGCATAGAGATAATTTTGATGTACAAACAATAAAACACATTAACCAATGTGAATACTGTAAATTAGATTGAACGTAGTGTCAATGGAGATATGCACATGTACAGCTATATAGCTATATTTTTATAGTTTGATTTTACTGAATGAATGAGAAGAGCTTCATCTACTAGACGCTGACACTCAAGGTTCTCTGGTAACCAACGACTCAAATTTTTCTGATCATGTTTTGGACATGATGAGTAAAATAAACGGCGGTCCGTGCGATATTTATCACTCTGTGTCTTGTGTATTAAACTGACCTAAATTCTTGTATTGTGTACAGCATCTCAGATTTCTCATATTGAAATTCAATTGTTGTTCACAATGAATCGATGCATCTTCAAAAACAATATTTTCAACCGGACATATGTTTGTATTTAATCTAATAAAAACAAGAAATTGTCAGCTTATATTTGCCAGATCAGGGCGATAAAGTTGTATTACTTTATTGATACGACGAGCTTTTGCTTTGCAGTCATTTTAATATATAAGAGTGATGATTATTTCCATTATTTTCTAATAAAGAAAAGTTAGATGTAATGACACGAATGTATAAAGCAGGACATAGAAACTGGTTGCAACGAAATGAAATCATCTCATGTTTTTATTTAAGTTTTATTATATAATTATATATAATGTACGTATATATACGGTGCTATGGACCAGGCGGAAGATACCCAAAAACATTCAACTTGAACTCGGAAACAAAGAAACAAAACTTATTATGCTTGCATTAGACCGATTGAAATAGTTTTTACTTGATTGTTTTTGATTACAGTGATGTCTATGATGCAAAATATTTACATTTAATATATACTCACTGTCATCGTAAACTACAGATAAGGTCAATGCGTTTGCGAATGCGTATACTGCCTAACGATGCACTTTTAATCGAATTGTGTCTTGTGTAGGCGTGTCTTCGTAATCATTAGATATTCACAGAGATTGCATTTATTCAATACTTTAATATTCATGTATGCATTGAATCGTGAATCGACTCAGAAACGATTTCCAGACATCAACAGTGCGTCTCAAAAGCCGCTTATTTAATATTCTGATTTTATATATCAGTTGATACGGAATTTTGGTATATCATAGTTCAAATATATATATTATAATATCTGTCAACCTTCGTCCCTAATATAAATTACGTCATTTTCAGCAGGACATCATTGGACATGTATGTCTTACCTTATACGTAGTCCTACCTTATACGTAATCGTAATCATTTGCAAGCTACTCTCTCGAAAATCGTTCGAAACTCATTCATCCTAAAACAAATGATTTACAAGGAGTGCTTTAGAAAATCGTGTGGCAATACTGTAACTAAGGCAACAGTGTACCAATATATGCGATGATGCTTGGTGGAACAAGAGATCATTTTAAATATTTTCCTATACATGAACAAATATTGCAAATGCATATATTGTAAAAATGATTAGGGGACAAAAGTTTGAACTGATGGTTATAATGATTAGGACTCAACTGAGTAAAGTTTCCATGGTGACGCAGATACTTTTTCATTTAATATCCTCCCCTATGTGTGTTCGCTTCATCTTCCAACTCGGAATAATTTCTCTTTGCGCTATACCCATAATTGATTTGATGGCTTTTGATGAAATAATCACTCCATAATTTGCTTCGGATATGAAACAATGATTAAAATTGACTCGATTGTGGCAACTGGATCATTTGTCAGAAATATGATTTGTAGATTTGAATATTTTAACCCTTCGAAGTCTAACGTCGAGTAAACTCGACAATGCAACAGGCAAGAACATCACACATTTAACTTTGGCATTTTCGCGTGAAATAAGGTTAGGCCTTCTAGATGTTCTAGATGCCATTTCCTGTTATTGGGCCGGAGACTTCTTAGCCGAGTTTCAACGCTCGAAGCTTGATGCTTCATTCGAAAATTCAAAATGATCCGACTGCTGGTAGTTAATCATGAAGTTTACTTCGTAAATTTCGACATTATAGTGGGAACATGGGGTCTAAGCAAATCGTCTTTTGGCAGAAAGCCTTGTTATAAAAATGTGAAATTCACAATAGCTATTCATGGCCATATGGGGGGTAGGACGATGTAAAATAGGGTGTCTTGGGTATAGTTTCCTTACTGCAATTGTAAAAATATTGAGGTCAGGTGAAACAAATGATTTTACTAGTAGTAATAGATGTCCTGTTGTGTTTAGTCCTGAATCCACCCGTAGGATTTGCATCACCCTGAAAATGCCAAGATCTAGATTTATCAAGACTACCTTTGATTATGAGACCATAGCCTTTTTTAGATAAAGTTTGCCACAAGTTCTTGACTCTATGAACAAATAAGCCTGTTGTATTCTTGGGATTGGATTGAGTAATACAACATACATTTTGTCATCCTAGATGTCATGCACTTTACTGTGTTCAATTTGAAAATGACCATGAATCTCTCACCATGTTACACTGTGACTTTGAGATTGAGAGGAACTGGAGTCTATTACTTTCGCCTGTTTTCTTCTTCTACTACTCTTCTTCTTCTTCTTCTTCTTCTTCTTCTTCTTCTTCTTCTTCTTCTTCATCATCATCATCATCTTCATCTTCTTGTGTCTCAGATTTTCCGTTTACTTGAAGAGTTTCCTTTAAGCTACTTTAGGTCAACTTATTAAAATATGCTCACTCACCCAGAGTGCATATAGGGGTTATGGCTGCAATATCACATGTGTTGATATTGGCTGGCAGATGATTGCAATATAACAATTGCTTTGGTAAATTGAAAAACAAAACGCAGCTCATAAAACCGACAAAATCATATCAAATAGCCATATTGAACTATACGAGACATTAAGGCCTACGAGCATTTGGTCTGCTAAAATGCCGTTGGCAATGGGAACCAGTTATAAAACGTTTGATGAAGATAATGAGGATGAAGCAGTTGATGATGCAAAGAATAGGCCAACCAAAATATTTGAAGAACTCGGTTACGAAAAGAGAACTTGGAAACATGTGTTCCGAATATTGGTATCGGAGTTCTATGCAACGGTTCTTTTCACGTTTGTCGGAGTTCTGTCAGTCTACACAGGAGGTGTAGCAATGAACGTGGCATTCGCACATGGATTCACCGTTCTTATAATGGTTGGGGTTTTCATTGATATCAGGTGAGGACCATTCTGATTTATCAGTCTTTTTTATCTAAAGCTTGTGAGAATACCAAGGGATAGTTGAATCTCTTGATCCCACTATTCACATCCTTGGTCCATGGGCTTTCAATTAGAGTTGAAAGCCCATGTATTTCACTTCTGTCTTCTGAATTGAGTAATAAATGAAGTCCCCGGGATGAAGTCCTCTGAATGAAGGATGGCTATTCGCGATAGGCGAGACTGAAGCCCAACAGATACACACTGGGGTACAGTGGAACCTCCATAGACTAACATTGCGTTAACGAAGACATTAACTTCGTTGAACTCTCCCGGAGAACTCTATGCCGAGGTTTTGCACAGTTGGTGAATGTTGGTCTAAAGAACATGTGACTCACATTTGACAGTTTAGCATATATTTTTGATGGCTTATCTTGAATTGCACTGAACATATTTGCTTCGATATCACAGATGATCACAATTTTGGCACCTTTAATCCTTTATACCTCTCGATTCTAGCTTTCACTGAAAATATAACGAATAATGTCTTGTCGGATTTGCCTTCATATTCTCTTTTTTGAATATTTGTTAACATTGTCTGTTGATTATTTATAGTCGGAATATTATATGGCCTTCATTACATCTTGATCCTATTCAAGATCACTTGACCTAGAGTCACTACTGCCATTCTTTCGAGCCACTATCTTAAAATCACTTACAAGATAAAAGAAATCATGACATCTGAGTAAACATATGCTTTTTGGTTCTCTCGAAAAACTTATGTATGATGTTACAATCATCGGAACAGTTCGTAATGGAGGATCGCAATCCTATCGCGGTTACGGTGAATGATAATAATGGAGTTAATGCTACTGACAGATCGACCGAGAGCCCCGTGGATATGGCAGCTCAAATGAAAAACTTTCCAGCGACCACTGGGCTCGCATATGTCTTCGAGGAATATGTCCAACCTTGTCTTATGGAAGGTTTTGGTGTTTGGCTTTTTGTCTTTATTGGTACTTTAGCAGTTGGGAACATGTTTGCAATCTGTGTAGCCGTTGCGCATGGGTTTGTGATAGCACTGCTGGTGGCTGGGTTTGGAAATATAAGGTTGGTATGTTCGATTGTGCATACAAAGAAACGGGGTTCCTTTTTATCCAAAATGAACTGCATGTGGGATATAAAGTCATTCAAAGCAATATAATGAGTTTTACAACTTCCTTTTAAGAATTTTTAAAAACCCTTTTTACATCTTGAATAATTTCCATGCTTGAGCGAATAATTTCAAATCCAAAAACTGCGTTGCACAAATTTGCGCTTGCAAATACGTTTCCTGGGATTACTAAAATGTTGTCAAACAGTTGTCCCCATGCATGTGGATAATTATTGCTTTAAGACAGTTGTGGGTACCCTTTTCATTCGTTCGACTTCACTTCTTAAAAGAGAGCTTCGTCTTCATAGTTTATGCGCAGGGTATGCTGTAAGAAAAATGGATGAATTGCCTGCTTGGATGGATAATCCAACTTGGCAATATGTGATCCAGGCCCCTTTTTTGATTCTTAGTAAAATATACCATCAACTTTTAGATGGACACTGACTTGGGACCAAACTGATACTACGGTTCTAAAACCTAAAAAAATGTTTGAGGCGCGAAGTCAAACTTTCCCAGAGTAGATACATTGATAAGTTGCTTTTGGCGCTAAATTCAAATGAAATCTCTCCGAATCACATGTTTGTATCCAACATAGTTTCATTTATTGCCTTTTCAAGTTATATTGCTGTGCTCAAGATAAAGGGTCTTGTGACAATACTCTCTTATCACTCTTGTGCTGATAATATGCTTGTAGAAATTGCTTCCACATTCGGGACTCTCAAGGACCGTTCATTCTGGTCACGAAAAATAATCATGATGTTTTATTATCAAGAAAACATTGTTAAATGTTAATAAGTGTTAGAAACAGTAAAATGATATTGATCTACAGGTTAACAGTTTTCCCGAGTTTACCTGAAGAAGTTTTAGCAAAACGAAAATTTGTAAATCAAAATCAAGAAAATATTGTATAACATCGATCGAATATTTTCAAAAACATTCGAAAAGATATACAGATAATTTTACATCTCAATGTCTTATTCGCATGATTGTAATCCATTGAATCATTAAGACACAGGAATGCCGAGAATCGGTATGACCCTATTATAGACTCAACTTACTAACAGATTCCCCAAGGTGGGCTAAAAAATTCATTTTGAGCTACGTGCTAGCTTTTTGGGCCTCATTTTTACTATAGGCCTTATTCTTAAGTTGCCTTCAAGTATTTTTGGTATCAGTTTAAGAAATCTATTCAAAATTTCCCCCTTGTGATTCCAGATCAGCCTCTGGACGCTATGAGTCTAAGACCATAGCTATTTTCAGAAATTAATTCAAATATAGCAAGTTGATGATTTCAGAAATTAATTCAAAGATTGCAAGTTGATCGGTTGGAGTCGGATCAATTTACTATAATCTACATGTACATAAGCCATTATCTCAGATTGAACTAAGTAAATCGAGAACCCAACAGACAAAAGGTCGTATACGTCCAAGTTGAAGTGGTCGAGGTAGACCTTGTGATAATCCCATGACCTAATAGAAGGTGTCAACACCAAAAGGTATATATAGGTGTGCTTTGTATAAAAACGATATGGCACAAGCTTCGTCAGAGTACAACATGGCAGAGGACAAAGTTACACTTCACGTGAACGATGCCATACCACAGTCTGCTAAATCACAGTTTGGATTTTCAAATTTCTTTCAACCTTGCATGGCTGAACTGTTAGGATTACTTCTATTTGTGTTTATTGGATGTTTAGCGGTGCAGGATAGTCCCCTTGGTGTTGGGACGGGTTCTCCAGCTGCAATAGCTGTGGCAGTTGCACATGGATTTACCATTGCCTTATTGATTGCTGGTTTTGGCCACATGAGGTATGCATATTAAGTCAAACGATAAGTGACCAAACTCGAGTTCATGCATAGAACAAAGGGGGTGGGGACGGGCGGATCTGGGAACCAACAAGGGGGGGGGGGGGGCAAATTTTAGGCCAGAGAAAATTTTTTGGGCCCCTAAAACCCAAAAGTGGGCCCAAGTTTTGAAATGTTGAGGCCCATTTTCTTCAAAATTTGGCCTGAAATTTAAAAATAAGGCCTTAAAAGGCCAAGTTATGACCAAAAAGGCCCACTTTTTGGGGCCATAAGGCCTTTTTTTGGCCCAAAACTCTTTGGGGCCCAATTTTTTTTCTGGGCCCACCAAAGGGGGGGGGGGGGCGTGCCCCCTAATCCGCCAGTGGTGGGCGTCGAGCCCCAGCACCCCCTCCCGCCAATGAATAATATTTTCCCCGTGCTAAACTAACCCCTTCGTAATGTAAAGGTTAGTGCCAGATCTGGAACTAACAAGCGGGGGCCCACAATGACATTGCAAATCATAACAAGCGTGGTAAAAATGTTGAACCCGGTGAAAGAAATTATGGTCCCCCAGGGATTATGTTCCCCCTTTTAAAGGCCCTTACTGGCCCTGATTGTGTATAAGATAATAAGGCAAAGAGGTCACCATATAAATCAATTAAGAGTAGGACCATAAATGAATAGGACCTCCTACCCTTTTACACCCGGGTCTCTATGTGAAACCAGGATAAACCAGGGATATTATACTAAGTATTGTATATTTACTTTTAAAATTGATTTTGCACTCCAGGGTCGTGTCACGTGCTTTTAAATAAACCAATTTAATAGACACTAGGGTATAATCAATTCACCTTCTATCATCCTCTTTTCACAATACTAGTGTTAAAAATCTTCTGGTTGTCTCGACATTTATTCATTAAACACGGGTCGTGTTGATCTAATTGTTTACCGTCTACATCACTGGACTCTTGCAATAAACATCTCGATATTTACTTCACATGTAGTAATTATTCTGTATTAGGTTGTGTTAATAATCTCTAATTCTTGTCGAACTTGATAACTTAAGATTATCTTGGATGGAAATGTGAACAAATAAAGCACTTCATAGTATCGAGACGTGGAAACACGATATATGTGTGTTATTCATGGTCACGAGTTATTTTCCATCACATGACAGCTCACAAAAAGATACAGTGAAAACTGGAATACAAGCAACGACGGAACAAAAGTAAATAAACATTTTATCACAAATGGAGCATTCTGGATCGGGAAGGGAAAATCCAGCTGAACATACTTCGCTCTTAGGAAGCCAGGGAAATAGAGAAGATGACGTTGAACAAGGGGGGCCACAACAGCCTCGAGATATCCGGAGACAGATCACTTTCAAGGATTTTTTCAGACCAAGCTTAGTAGAACTCGTCGGGGTGTTCCTATTTGTTTTTATCGGCACGCTGTCATATTCCTCTTTATCAGTGGTAGCGATTGCGTTTGCTCATGGACTTATCTTTGCTCTGTTAATTGCGGGATTTGGCCACATCAGGTACAAGTAAACAAATGGCGCATTGGGTTAGCTAGTTTGGAATAAGGGTTTAAGTTTAATGCGGTCATCCTATTTAGTACTGTCAATGTTAACTCTCGACCATCAAACACATGTCGCTTATATGTTTCTTACGAAGGAGAATAAATGGTCTATTAATTATAAAAATGATAATCAATCTATGTGATTCATTTTTGCAGAATTGAGCACGGGTTTCAAAATCACGTTACTCACGTTTCGTAAATCTTCGTAATATTATACAACCCCTCCAAAAGGTCCTCAAGTTCCCCTCGCTCTCTTCAGATATTTTCAACATTTTGAAATTGTTGACGAACAGTTTTGAAACTCACCATTTAGTATAATTAAGGCACTTACACGACAAAATGATACCACTTGCAAATGATTACACGAGTATAAAAGTGTAACAATTGTTACGGACACATTAAAAACTGTTTCTGAAACGATATACCACAACTTCTTAGTGTAGTGGAGGTTTTATGGCAAATTAAAGACAATTAAACTTACAATTGACAAAGAATTGGACAATTCAATTTCAACCTGATATTTTTCAAAACAAATTTAATTATTATATCATTGCTAGAAATTGTGTGATTTGATTGGTCGAGTCAGTACCATGTGATCAAAAATACCATAACGTATTTCACAGCTCCCTCAATTTTAGGATAATAAAAGACGTATTGCCCGGCGTATTGCCCGCCCGGGAATTCTGACAACTACACTGGACGAAAATAAAGTGTACCATTCAATGATACTTGTACGTAATTATGTTCACTTATGGATTAATGATATATTAATTGATTAAAATAAATGATCATAGGGAATGTCTAGCAATGATATAATAAAACAAATATTTCATTCTATGTTCGGGCAATACCTGTTGCACTTTCAATGATTTTTGCAGTCATGTATTTCCCTCGCCCTACGGGCTGCGGGCAATACATACCGCAAAAATCATTGAAAGATGAACAGGTATTGCCCTCCATAGAATGAAATATTTGCTTATTAATTCCAAGGTTTCTGAATATAATGAGATAATTCAAATTTCTTTCAAGATGGCATCAATGTAGAATATTTGAAAGTCTTTGTTGATCTCGCTTGCTAAAGCTGACACTCATGTATTTTCAGTGGCGGGCATTTCAACCCAGCTGTGACTCTTGGGGTTCTCATAGCAGGGGAGATCACTCCTCTCCTGGCCCTTGGATACCTAGTCTCGCAATGCGTCGGCGCTGTCATTGGAGCAGCATGCTGTAGGGTAAGTTCTTTGACGTATTTGTACTCGTAAAACCTGTCTTAATTTCCCTCGCCGAGTCTGATCAATGATCATGATTGAGTATGAACTGAACTACTAGAGGTCTGTGATTAGTTATTCAGGTTTTTGTACTTTTGGGTCTTATTTTATTGCCACTGATCAATAAATATTCATATTCGATCATATAAACAAGTTTAGTAACTTTTATATAACAAGCTAGAAATTTTTGGAAATGACCCCCGGCGTCTGTACGTTAACAGAGTAAGTGTAAAATGCACTTCGCTCGCAGGATCTTTTGATCTAGCGCATGGATTGACCTGATTTTTTCCATAGAGATTAAGCATATCCTTCCCCACAAAAATGAGTATGATCGTTAAAATCGGATCATTGATAAAGAAATGAACGCTGGAAAACTGTTAATTTCGATGAATTTTTTGTTTCCCGCATTCATACAAACAAATCTTCAATTTAGCACGAATTGACTCAAAATACGTTCGAGGCAATACTAGAGATACCAGAAAATGATTTTATGCGAGCACATTTTCGATTTATAGCCCTAATTTTTAATAATTACTTACCGCATTTGACTATTGACAAAATTTGGAGTTTTAAAGATGGCTACGTTAGCGCCAATGTGAATTGACCAATAGGACGTCGCTTGTAACGTAATCCGGTAGAGATTTTCAACAATTTCCGGTCAACATGAAATTTCAGTTTTCTGTACATTTCGTCGTTGTTCTGTCTATTTAACGATGAATCTTGCCGTATTTGAGTTGATAGATCGATACTTACTATCAATAAGCCGTTCCAAGTACATCTGAGGGATGCCTGATTTATTTATGGACGATAACGACGACTAGTTTGATGGAACAATTTGTTTGATTTTTGCTGAAAATCCAATCTCAAGCCCGGGTCTCAAGCAGACACAAGCAGCTTTACACTGAGGTAAATTGGTAAATAAAATACAATAAAATATTAATACGAGATATATAATGATATGATTATCCCATATTGAATTAATTGCATAACAATATTTCAGTCTTCCTTTGAACCCTTGACACTGTATGGAAATATTGGTCTACATATTGGTCAATTTAAAAATGACTGATTGGGAAAAGACCAGGGGTTTATGCAAGACTTGTTTTTCATGTCAGTCATCGGAGTGTGACATTTACTTTTTTCAAAATATACATTACTCATACCAATATACAGGCAGTTCCATTTAGGTGCAGAAACTCACTTTTATCAATAATAGCGATAAATTCTAGTAGTGATAAATTAGTCGATAAATTTGATAATCATCAATTATCGATAAATTTGGAGTATGGAATAACCTACAGAGCACATATGAAATTAACATTATCAGATATTAGCGCTATCATCAATATTATCTGATATAATCAGAAAAACTAATTCAGATCAGTTCTGAAGTTTTCTAACATATAGTAATAAAAGCGATAGTTTTAATAAAAATGAAATTATTCCTATACACTATTATTTTGATAATTATCAAATTAATTAATATGATCTGATATTACCAGATCAGCTAATTTCACTTGGCCTTGTTCTTAGTAAAACTGGTCTCAGACCAATAAATTGTATTGATAAAAGCAATAGTTTTTACATAAATTAATTACAGCTGGCTAGTAAACAATTGATCAATATATCTACTGCCATGTATTAATGTTTTTTCAGATTTTATGATCTTATCACAAATTGAGAAATGTTTATGTCTTGTTCATTGGATGTGATGGGAAGCTAGATATTCTAATTTGAGAATACAATTTTAAGTCATTGAGCTTTCAGATCATTGGACTTATACGTCTCATTTGAAATATGCATCATGTACATGTAGAATGGTGTATGATATGAACATTCATTTTCCAATTCCAGGATTTCTCCAACAATGCATCATCTCGCCCTCTGAAAACTTGGCAATCCTGGCTATGCAGTTTGAAAATCATCTACTGGAAAATCAGCAAATGAAAGTGACTCCACAACAACCTTGCCAATTCATCAGTGTACAGTATTCAGTATGACTAGGCCTACATGTAAGTGCAGTTGTTTGTATCACAAGGTTTGTATCCAAAAGACTAGATATAAACTTTTCACTAATTTTTTATAAGAACATGAATATCATATAGAAACGTAAATACTGTGGAGTTTTTATAGATCATTTGACTTATACAATTTCTTTTGTGTATTTCTGAATATAATTTTTTATTTTATTAACATTGTTCCAATGGCCGATAATGTTAACTTATCAACAATGGCAAATTGTTCATATGTATTCTATTGTATTGATTATTAGAAATAAATTTGAATTCTGTAAAAAAACAAAAACATTTCCTTTGAAATTATATACATGATATACATTTTACCATTCCAGGAATATCTCAACTGATGAATCATCTCAAACAAGTTTTATTCCCATTACGTACATGTACATGGCAATCTTGGCAATCCTGGATATGCAGTTTTAAATATATGGACCACTGGTGGTGATGGTGCTGGATCCAATAAACAATGATTATTACGGTACATATTCCAAAAGACTAGCTCGCCAATGACACAACAAAAACCATAGACTCGAGCAATAAAATCTAAAGCTGTATGCCAAAGATACATAGTAATTATGTACTATCGTTCAGAATATGGATATCTGGATGAAATGGTGACAGTAAGAGCATATGTAAAGTTACCGATAATATGTATATGGTTCTAGTGGATTAATTTGAATGAAAAGAGATTGAAAGAGATTCTGATACACTGCTACATCTAGCATCCTGTTATCGAGAAGGATACATCCATATAGTAAGCTGTCCAAAGAAATTATAAGTCCAGGTTATGCCATTCCTGAATGTGAAATTGTTCACAACCAAATATCACTTTGAATTCTAATCTATTGAGTGTGCCTGGGCTATCATCAATAACTTCTGTGCTGATGATCACCGTCATGACCTGAATCACACTCAAATTTAAAATTACCTTCTTGTTATCATAAAGTGACATCTGAAATATAGACAAAACTATGTTAAATTAACATAAACATAAAGTTGGCTTGCATCATGACTCGAATGAGGATGATGATAATGGACCAAGTTTTTAAAGCTACATCAGTCAAGGCTTTTGATTTCCTTGATCTTTTCCTACTTAATTTTCACTAAATTTCATTTTTTCAGCTTATTTTTCTAATTTCTTTTATTAAATAAATGAAACTAATTCCTGGGAATTTTGTATCACACGAATTAGAATTATTGGAACTCTGTGGCTATTATATTTTGAGAATTTTCCACAACTCGTTAAAGCGCAAAATATAATACCATGCAAAAATTACCAGGAGTACAGTATTCATAAACCCTTGCTTTTCTAAAATTATAGTGGTTTGTAATTCTTATGATTAACAATTGTAAAGAATATGTGCATATTTTTTTGTCATCATTGACTTGAAACAATATCAGAGGACGAGGTCTTAGATTTTGTCAATTATAAAAAGTCTGCGAACTAGACTATTGATTTGAACTATGTTCAATATCAATTTCACTCATCTTTGATCTCGTAGGAGCTGTTAAACAAACATGTAAATAGCTATTTAAGTGCAATTATACTGTAGATACACTTATTTTGATGCTACTCAATTTGACGGATTTGCTCAATTCTAAATATTGGTGGCTCTAATTTTTGTAGATGTTTATGTCATTAGGACAGGTGTTTACAAAAATATTTTCTGTATTTCTTTTGGAATAATGTAGAATTGATGACATATTGTCAGGAAAAGGGGCCCCTGGAGTTTAATTTCTGAAGTGCATTGGACAAAAATTCCAAACTGAAATTTGATGGATTCTTAATTTGTCTCTTCCCCCTCATCTGCTATTGTCCCGTCTCTCATCTGCTATTGTCCCGTCTCTCATCTGCAATCGTCTCTTCTTTCATCTGCCATTGTCTCTTCTTTCATCTACCATTGTATTTTCTTGCATCTGCTATTGTCTCTCCTCTCATCTGATAATTTCTAGTCTCTCATCTGTCACTGTCTCTTATTTCATTTGCTATTAAATATTAATGAGAATGATATCATAATGAGTGATTTATATAAATAATTTCCAGGGGGTACTCAGCTTTGTACCAGAAGGTGCTTCAATGACGCCATATGAGGCAATTCTTGGAGGTGCTCATGACCTTGCTCCTGGAGTTGATCCAGGACGAGGAATCCTTTGTGAGATGCTACTTACGACTGTGCTTATAACAACAGTGCTTATGACAGCTGTGGACAGTAAAGGCAAGAACTCACTGGCCCCACTTGCAATTGGGTTTGCTGTTACTGTCTGTATACTGGCTGGGTAAGACCTATGCTATTGTCTATATTGTTCTAGATCCTAAATTATCTTTACAGTATAGAGTTAATACCTCACTCTATACAACAATTATTACTGGTTGGTAGCTATACAATATTCCGATTAACCTAGGTATTGATTTCACGCCCGGTGATCCTGAAAATGGGACGGAGGGAGGGAGCAAGCAATTTCTGGTAGAAAAATGAACAAATCTGCAAAAATTATTTTTTCAAGAAAAGGTTTATGATTTAATTGCTAAACGAATAGGCGCACGGTATGGTAAAATATGTCACGTATTCTACGAATTTTTTTTAGCCGATTCTCTTCTTAGATATAAGATCTATTAAAAAAGGCGCAACGCCACCAACGTGCAAAAGTCAATGTTTTTGCTTTAAATCAAGCATCAACGGTCTACACAACCTGCAATTAATATTTGTAAGTGACATTATCATCATAAAATTAATGACTTTACAAAATACGTTTCCATACGTTGTATAAAAAATAATCGAAAATAATTAAAATGGGACGGAGGGGGGGGGGGAGGGGACGGAGGGGGGGGGAGCAAAATGTCTATACGACATGATGAGAGATGTTACTTCACTTTATATCCAAATTTTCCCATTTTCTCCTCAATTACAATGGGTTAGGAATTGATAACAAGTTGTATTCGTAGTTGGATATATTAAGGATTATCAAAATCTTGGAGGAGAGCGTTTATTTTTTTATGTGTATAATAGTTTTTATTTTTTGAAGACTTATCATAAAAATGTAGACATCGCATCATATTTCTATTTGGACATGCAAGTTTTCGAGTAAGCAGTTACTAAAGTTGTTTCATTATTAAGCTCGCTACCAGATATCTAGTATATGTTAATATTTTTGATTATGTTGGTCTTCAGCAGATGTAGAATTTAGACTAAATAATCTGCCAGGAAGTTTCCCAATTAGTGTACCCAATCATACCATGGGCACATCGCCTATTACGCCAAATACTGTACTGTACTTTGCATATATTTTCTCACATTAAGTGTAATATATGTATTTATTATGCAATATGCATCTCACATTTAGTGCAATATATGTATTTATTGTAACATTTGTCCTCGACCATATGCATTTTGCAATATATGTATTTATGTTATCAATTCCTGACCCTTTATAATTGAGGAGATAATGGGAAAATCTGGATATAAAGTATCAAGTAACATCTCATATCATATCTTGTAGACATATTGCTCCCCCCCCTCCGTCCCCTCCCCCCCTCCGTCCCATTTTAATTATTTTCGATTATTTTTTATACAACGTATGGAAACGTATTTTGTAAAGTCATTAAGGTCATTAATTTTATGATGATAATGTCACTTACAAATATTTATTGCAGGTTGTGTAGACCATTGATGCTTGATTTAAAGCAAAATCATTGACTTTTGCACGTTGGTGGCGTTGCGCCTTTTTTAATAGATCTTATACCTAAGAAGAGAATCGGCTAAAAAAAATTCGTAGAATACGTGACATATTTTACCATACCGTGCGCCTATTCGTTTAGCAAATAAATCATAAACCTTTTTTTGCAGATTTGTTCATTTTTCTACCAGAAATTGCTATACCCTCCGTCCCATTTTCACGATCACCGGGCGTGGATTTGGGATTGCCAATTGAAGACACACAGTGAACAATATCATTACATAAAAATCATAAATGGCCACCTTAAATTATCTGGCTTGCCAAAAACCAAATAGTTCTCGATTTTCATACCAAAAATCACACAAATCAATCCGTCAAGTAATTTGTCAAAAATATACAGAAAAAGTGTGATACCGTCACTCCACCTACTAAGCTGATAAAACTAGAAGTTCTAGATTCATGACACGTGAGCTTCTGTATCGTATGTTCTAATTTTCATTGAATACGTTCGAGGGAATATCTAATATTAATATAAAACACCAATGAAAAAATTCATTTATTACTGTAGTTTATTTAACTATTGTTTTATGTCTTTTTTAGAATCAACGTAACTGGTGCATCAATGAACCCAGCAAGAAGCTTTGGTCCTGCAGTAGTCATATCGTATTACAAACCTGCCATTTGGAATCACCACTATGTCTACTGGGTTGGGCCATTGTTGGGTTCGGGATTTGCTGGTCTTATGTATAGGTAGGCTATGGAATATATATAATTAAATATACTATACCTAAATATTAAAGTAGTATTCTAATGTAGTCTTCCAGCAAGTTTCAGACTCCCAGATTTTCCGAAATGAGTATGCTATGTTATATGGGATTTCCTTCAAGCAGCTTGCAAATAATTTAGCACACACATTATTTCAAGATTGTATGTATGAAAATTGATTCTAAGCAAGCACTTGACAGAAGCAAACCCCCAAGTTAAATGAAAAATGGAATCAGATTATATATGTATGTATGTATGTATGTATGTATTTATTTATTTAAGTGTCACGCCAATATATAAAATTACATATTATTAAAAACTACATAAAATCACTGGCCCTGCCGGTGTCGGCATATGAGACACTATGGTGTACAATAATCACTTTTAAGACCAAAGTTTTTAAATAAGTTAAAATGATCGTCTTTTAATACATAGTTTAATAATTGTCTTTCCCAAACGACGTTGAAGGAGTTCACAGTTCATTATTAAACAATATTTTGCAAGGTTAGATGTTTCAAAGTCCTCGCCAAATATTGTCCTTGCACTATCCATAAGCTCACTCCTCTCGAGCTGGTATAAAGGGCATTCTATCAGAAAATGCAGTTCTGTTTCGACAGCATTACCGCAATGACAGAGGCGCTCCTCAAGAGGCATATTGATATAACGGCCCGTTTCTAATTTTAACGGTAAAGTGCCACTTCGTAGTTGAGCAATGGCACGTCTTTCATGGCGGGTGAGGTTAGCATTCACATAAGCCTCAGGGCCAATGGCATGGAATTTATGAATTCTGTACATCCTCAATTTATTGCCGTTAATGTTTCTACCATCATTCCACATTTGTTGGTGCCATATTACATGATCATTTTTCAGTAATGCCTTGTGTAGATCATTCAGTTCCTCCTTTGTATTTATAACTTCATCTGGTGTTATAAGCTGGTTAAATCCATGGTTCCTTAATAGTTTAATGGTTTTACTTTCCCAAGATCGGGCTCGTCTTAATGACCAAATGTGTATGTTCTTTGTGTTTCTATTGTTCTCCATGTTCTTTAAACGACACCATAAACGTGCAACTGCAACTTGTTGTTTAATGAAAATGCCAGTCCACCCTATGTCGCCCTTGGTTGCAACATTAGGAGCCCTTTGACCAAGCCCAAGAAAGTAACGTGCTGCTTTGTTCTGTACAGCGTTTATCTCAGAGTATTGGGAGTTACCCCACACACCGGCACCGTAGAGTAAAATAGGTTCCACCAGAGACTCATAAAGCTTTGTAAAAACTTTATATGGCATACCTCCTACTGCATTGGACTTAGCGATTAGTGCGCCCAAAGCTCTGCTTCCAGAAGCTGCTAACAATTTAACTGTACGATGCATATTTAAATGTTCATTCATGGTTAATCCTAAATACTTGTAGTCTGTTGTAAACTCAATATTTAAGTCGCCACATGTAAACGAAAAGTCACTTCTAATATTTCCAGCGGGCCTGAAATGAATAATCTTTGTTTTAGTCTGGTTAAGACACATACGCCAAGTACGACACCAGTTATGTAGAACGTCAAGCATACGTTGTAAATTAGACTCATTTTGAGCAACGAGGGCAATATCGTCCGCATACATGAATATCGAAGTATTTCTCCCATTTATATCAATTCCACAATTGAGATTATTAATTAATTCAGCTAAGTCATTTATATATAATGAAAATAATGTCGGGGATGCTCGACAACCTTCCTTTAATCCATTAGGTACGTTAAACCATTCTGTTAAAATTCCATTAACACGAACTGCACATTCGACGTTTTCATATATTGACGCAATGGCCTTTAACATACGTCCTTTAACTCCTGCACGTTGTAGTTTATAAACAAGGCACGTACGATCAACGCTAATAAAGGCACGTCTGGCGTCTACATAACAAACGAATGTGTCTTGTTTAGCTAGCTTCCGGTTATTTAATATAGAATACATGCTATATATATGATCTAAACAACTCCTATCTGTACGGAATCCATTCTGATCGTCTACGAGTTTTTGGCCTGTTTCAAGCCACGAGACTAGTCTTTGGTTAAGGATGTCACAATAAACCTTACACGGTATACTTATTAAGGTAATACCTCGATTGTTCAAAGGAACTCTGGGATCACCGGACTTGGGTATCGGATGAATAATTCCTTTATTCCATTGCTCCGGAACTTTGCCGAGACGGAAGCACTGTTGAATAATCCTATGCAAAAGAATTATACAATTATTGTTTTTCAACGTTTCTGCTGGGACGTTATCAAAACCTGTAGCTTTCCTCAGTTTTAATCTATAAACGCTTTTCCGAACATCATTAAAAGTTATATCATTGTTAAGGGTAGGGTTGACACTTGGGTCTTCGTTTAATTGTGTACCATCCAGTTCATCCTTAATACGATTCAAATGATCATCGTCAAAATCCGGATTGCCATTGCCACTATAAAGGTCCGTATAATCAGATTTCCATCGATCGAGTACTGCATTTCTTTCTGTCGTAACATTGCCATCTGAGTCTACAACCTCAAATGATATATATAGGGAAATATTACTGCCTTTCAGATTTGTGTTCGCCTCTGCAGACAAGAGACTGATCCTGAAGGAAGACTAATGGATCAATTTATTGAATACTCAAAACTAGTGCATCAGCCTGAATGGACCCTTTGTGACCAGCTGATCCATATTGTATATTGGCTGGGTTGGTGACCCATATTTTATTATCCACCTGACAGGAACCATACATTCAGCATATTTGATGTTAAACAAACAAATAGGGTACTTTGGCATAGTTTAATACATACTGTATGTTTTTAACTAGAACGCCATCTTTACAATAAAATAAATCTCATTTGAAATGAAAACCTACAACGGAACAACATGTATCTGGAAATACGAAGGCATTACACAAACTCTGTAGCAATCAAAAGATATCAGAAATGTTTCATCTTGCTTTGCTGTTTATTTGATTATACTATGTATAAATGGGATGTGACTTTTTATAGTGTTAGTTTAATTTGCAAGTACATTTCATATCTAAATACAGCTATAGCTTGACTAATGTATGAAACATGACATCTGGTCTCATTTAGTGAAATGCAGGTAACGTATGGGATTATTCATACCATTTCATATATGCATTCAGCACAGTGATTTATATGATATACATGTATTATCACACAGGGTCCAAATGAAAGTCTGGGCGGGTATGATATATAATTTATCAATAATGGCAGGTTGATTTTAAATATTCTCCTGACCCAATGATGTCCATTATTCAGTATTTAAAGAGATTTTCCATTAACATTGTTATTTGACAGTCTATGTTTGCTTTTGGGAAAGGTTGCAAGAACTATCTTTTGATATATTAAAATCTGCTTCACAATTGCCAATAAAGCTTAAAGCATTGCAGAAAAGCTGTCAATGCAGTTTGTCACCATGTAGTTAATATAAATTAATATATAGATGTAAATATATAAATACATGTAGTATAGTTCAGTACTGTGTGATGTAATACACATGTAAAGGATAGTATAATACAGTAAAGTAGAGTACTATGCCATATAATACACACATATAGGATAGTATAATGCAGTACAGTACTATGATATATAATACACATGTCAATGATGGTATAATACAGTACAGTACTATGTCATATAATACACATGTAAATGATGGTATAATACAGTACAGTACTATGTCATATAATACACATGTAAATAATGGTATAATACAGTACAGTACTATGTCATATAATACACATGTAAATGATGGTATAATACGGAACAGTACAATACTATGTCATATAATACACATGTAAATGATGGTATAATACAGTACAGTACTATGTCATATAATACACATGTAAATGGTGGTATAATACAGTACAGTACAGTACTATGCCATAATACACATGTAAATGATGGTATAATACAGTACAGTACTATGTCATATAATACACATGTAAACGATGGTATAATACGGAACAGTGCAGTACTATGTCATATAATACACATGTAAATGATGGTATAATACATTAGAGTACAGTACTATGTCATATAATACACATGTAAACGATGGTATAATACGGAACAGTATAGTACTATGTCATATAATACACATGTATAGGATAGTATAATACAGCACAGTATGATACAGAAATAGGAGTATATGTGCAAATTCATTATTCAATGTAATAAAAATACACTTCTTATGTACAGAATTAAAATATATTTTATTTCAACAATATTTTGGTATTATACATATTGTATAGTGAGAAGCCTTTTTCACCTGTTGCATGTATAAACATATGATAGGTCTACAGTAAAACTTGTTAAAGTGGAACACATCAGCCTACAGAGGCTAATAAGTTAATGGTAACAGGTAATGGAATTCCACTTACAGATATGTTCCACTTTGCAAATTTTACTGTACATATTGAAACTCCATTCCCAATGAAATGTGCATGTTCGTGCAGTCATAAATATGCATGCACATATTATTTCATTAAATTTATAAAATGGTTTCAGAACCAGTTTGTAACAATAAAGTGGGTAAAAAGTTTGCTTCATTTTACATTTTTCTAATTATCGTTTATACATTGGAATTCAAATTCAAATCAATTTTACAAGTGATCTACTAGATAAAGTATTTGTGATACTTGATCTCTCCCATTATGAAGAAATCAAACATTTGTTTCATATTATTATTATCATATTTATTATTGTACATGTCAAGATTAGGATTGTCTCCCATGAACATAATTTGAAATTTCATTCAAACTTTAAGGAATAAAACAAATCTTTACTTGAAAATTAACAGAAAGTGAAAATTCTAATTTCATATTTTCTTCTACAATTATCACATTATTATTTTTCTCATGCCTTTTTGTTAAAAATCATATTTTACTATCAGGACACTTTTACTTTGGAATGGCACTTTTATTGAAAATTTTTAATTTTTGCATTTCATTTATACTGTGTTACTTATGACTTAATTAACATACTAAAGCATAGGAAATATGTTCAACATCATAGTTATTATAGTGTTGAAACAATAATAGTTACTTGTTCCGGCATTGCATGAATAACTGCTGATGTAACAGTGTGTGTTTAATATAAATACTATACAGTGTTCATTGGGCTAGCTATACAGATTGAAGCAATACTTTATACAATATGTCCCATATACAATACACATATGTACACAAGCCTGATGCCTTAATCAACAATCAGCTCTTTGCATAAAACTTGTATCAAATTGTCCTTGCTTTAAGATAATATAAGAAACAAAGAATGTCAAGAAAACACCATTGCTCAATTTCAGATAAATAAATTAACAAATTCTTTATCAACTTTTGGTGAACATTTTGCCTCGATTTATATTCTATACTTGAACTCATTATAAAAGTGAGGAATTCAGAGCTGAATGTAGATACTCCATGAGTTGTGGTACAGCATACAGCATATATTTTAGAAACAAATTCAAATTTAAAATCTCTTATATTTCATTAAATATACTAATAAAGATGTTAAAAACATATTGGTATGTATGAGCTGTAAGCTAGGAGCCCTCAATGGGATAAAGATGCATATTCAAAGGACTTGTAGTGTGGACAATACAAATCCTCAGATCCACAAACTGGTTCACTGAACCACTACAGATAATGATATAATTCCCTATGACTATGGCACTTACCACTATGGGGTATGAATAATGCAGCAAACTGTTGACTGGACATGATTTTTCAACAACAAAAGGTAAACTTCAGTTAAGTGTGATACAAGTGCAATGCTGTAAGTTGTACTTCACAACTAAATTCTATAAACTACAATACAGTACAACTAAAAATTAACCTTCCACGGTACAAGCAACTCACATAGATCTCTATAGCTTCATAACAATGGTTAATTCTCAACTGTACTGTATTAAATGGCCATGGAATGACCTCAAGAGCTTCCACTTTGCTCAAGCTCCATTTTCTCAGAGCCGGGAAGTTGGTCCATTTTATCTAAAACTAGACACACATAGCTTGCCACATCCACTTGTTTCTCAGAGTACTGCCGGATAAATGGATCCTCCTGAAATACAATATAATATGAAACTTGTATAAATATTGAAGCTATATCTAATCAACTGGATCAAATCCTTCATGACTGGATTTTTGGCTGGCAAAACATTGCTTTCTTCAGAATTTTCTTCAGAATTGTGCCAAATATGCTAATTGTGAAAGGGGTCATGACTTGTCAGAAATATAATATTAAACTTAGAGATACTTGGCAATTTGGCATGGTTTCTACTCACCAGAAGCTTATTGTATTTGGGTCTAGATTTTTCATCCTTTGTTAAACTGAAAAATAAATCAAAGAATTTTGTTTAGAATTTTATATGAAGTTAGAACATCGATCTGCACTTGATTTTGTCAAAAAGTGAACTGTTCAGATAATAAATTGTGGGTAAAATAATATTTATCAGTTCTCTTACCTTAAATGGAACTCCCTTAAATATGTTAAGTTTAAATCTAACGCTATACACTCTTCAGAATAACAAAACAATACTAGACTTTTCCATTTGGTTGACTGTCAAAATTCCAGAATGTATGTACCTTAATCTTAAATGTCTACTTTTGCATTCAATTTACAATATCAGGATATAATTTTGACAGTGAACCTCTTGATAGGTCAATAATTAAAGCCTATACAGTGTTCTCCCCAGGATATTTTTTCATTTTCACAACTGGTCAAAATATGTTAATTTTCGTTCTTTTTTCTTTCCAAGTGGGTTTTCAGGTGGGTAATAGACTAGTATCTCAAGTGAGTGCAACGCCCACTTGCTTCAATTCTGGGAAGATCACTGCTATAACACCAGAAAATATTTACTCACCATGTGTTAACTAATTTAACAAAGGAGTTTGAGAACCTATCTTCTTGAGAGAGTTTAGGGGCAGCCCCCTGTACAACCTGAGTTAGCTGGTCAAATACACTGTTCCATTTTGGATACGGGAATTTACCATTTGCAATTTCATGCTGAAACAAAAACAAGAATATGTATCAAGACAACAGAATCAAAGGATGAATCGGTCATTAAGTCAAATGTCATAATGCTACCATGTCAGTAATTAGCCTCGTGCCATATTGTTGAATGATTAAGATTTTAACTAGTGTCAGGGGTTTCACTAGATTTTCTTGCAACAGGCTAAATAAATTAAAACAACAGGCAAAATTAATGGAAATCATGAATTTAATATGGAAAAGTTGAAAATTCCCTAAAAACAAAATTGCGTGTTGCCCGCTGCTAACAAAACCCCTGTAGAGTTGTTGTAGAGGTTTTCTATTTTCTAAAGTTAAAGGACTGCATCAATTTCTGTCAGTTCACTTCTTCAGATATTTAAATTACATATCATCAAGATGTTGAGCCAATACTTGAGGATTTCAAAATATTGGAGAGTATTTTACATACCATTGTTATTCCTAGACTCCAGACATCTGACCTGACATCATAGCCTTTACTAGAATGTCTTGGATCTATCCTCTCAGGCTGAAGACATTAGAAAACAATATTTAGGTATAATTACAAAGGATCATTCCATACTCTATTAATCTATTTTTCTGGTATATCATAACAGAGTTAGCTATACTAGAATTGCAGGTCTGGTAAGGGAGCATTTTTAAGATTTAGTGAGCACATAGCTGTTACTTCTTTTCATATCTGAGCTTGTAGGGAATAAACAAACTGTACTTTGGTAAGTCTTAATACTGTAATTTACCTTCATGATAAAAGTAATAAGAGCATAACTTTGTATTATATGTAATGTGTTAATACCCTTTTTCATATTATATATGCTGTTGAATTCTGAGACACTAGTTAGAGGATCAGCATTCCACAATCATTGTTTGTATTGTATAAGTGTAACATATATGCACTAAAAAACCTTAGCTTTTTAACTAAATACTACTCACAGCCATGTATGGTTTGCATCCAGCATCTCTTGTCTTAGCTATTGAGTCAACTAGCTGGCCACTGATGCCAAAATCACATAGTTTGATGTTGCCCTTCCTGTCTAGCAGAATATTGGATGGTTTAACATCTAAAACACAGACAAGATATTGCATGGAAATATGCTACAGAAGTTAACAGTCAGTGTGGTTTTTGTGTGATTGGCTTTCAATGAATTCAATAGAATGAGGACTTAGTTAACTGTGTCTGCTTTAGAGCAGATATGTCGGAATAGATGATTCTCATTAAATGCATTGAATGATGTAGTGTAAAAGATGGAGCTATGTTCATGATGAGCTACGATTTTGTTCACAGTGAGACCAAGGAGGATTGGCTCCCAGAGTGCAACATTGATATTCTGTCCCATATATGGAGATGTTGTGATTCAAAATTCAAATTCAAACAGCCCCATTTTGTTCACTTCAATTTGAATCGTGAATTTTGGTCTTATTTCTAAATGAAAAATTCCCAAACTCACAATAAATGATCAAGATATTGGTTCGAATCTTTTGGACTGTTTTTTGAATTTACAGTAGGTTATAATTTCAGAAAGTAACGACATTTCGACGTTTTCATTGTTGGAAAATCCTCCTTGCAGTGAGACCCAATAATGGACTAGTGAGAGGTTTTTGTTTTGTTTACCGTCTTAACTAACATTATCATAATGTAAGACACGTTACATATGTCAAACAGAATAAAGATCAATGACTCTGAGCTTGGAAGGACATGCAGTCATTCCAGTTGTACATCATTTGTAAATATTCTTTGAAAGCATGTAGGAAAAATACAATATTACATTTATTTAAAGTACTCACCTCTATGAATTATTTTTAATTTTTCTTTCAAATAATGTAGCGCCTTTACAGTCTGAAAATATACAAAATAGTATAATAATTTAGTAAAATACAAAATCGTGAAGTAACTTCCATCCAATGTGCATATTTGAAAATTTTGACACAAATCAAATAAGGTTGCATTTTAAAGTCCAGCCAATCAGCAAATTCCTCACAGAATATGGAAAATTGATCAATTATTTGTACATGGATTACTTATAGATGCCAACGTGAGGTGATTCAGAAAAATCTTTAGAAAAAATAGAAAAGTTATATCAGACATTCAGAGGTTTCATTAGATGCCATTGAGAGAAGACTATTAAATAATCATACAAAAAGGGTGAATAGTTTGACCAACTTATGTTCCAATTAAAGCGAACATGTCCCTTTATCTGCCTTTCATGACATGAACATAACATTATAGGTCTATATAAGGAATAAGGATAAAGGACACATACACCCTGTGCTCACTCAGTGAATGTGAATGGACAGATGAATGAATGAAATGTATTTTTCTTTTAAAATGTTTATGCTGGCAGATAAAGGGACTCAGGGACACATTCATGTCTAGTCCCTGTATGTTACAAACATTTACTTACCGCTACAACTATTTTTCCTAATATTTCCTCAGGTATATGCTGCTGTAAGTGTCTATATACAAACTTGTAGAACTTATCCAGGGACACTGACATTATCTCCATGCATATCCAGCAGTCCCCTTCTTTGAATAATGCCCCATAGAATTGCACTATACATGGGCAATCATTACTTCGCATAACAACATCTAAGTCCATTAATAATTGCTTTTGTTCCTTTTCATCAACTGTTGACCGTATTCTCTGCAAATAAAATGAAGTTGAATACAGATCTTTCATATAAATCCTGCCACATTTTGCTACACAAGAGAAGCTATGATGTATTGACTAGCTTGACGATGCCATAGGTTGTAGGTATCAATGTTTACATTCAAAATTCTAACAAGTTTTCAACAATAAGTTATTAAAAGTTATACTAATCTTATTCTAGAAACAGTACGAAGAAACACTACACACAATATGGTCAATATATCCTGGTTTCCTGTGGTATGTAAAGGTTTAATGAAAAGGTTTATTCAATTTAAAAATTAATGGTATATATACAGGGATGAATGTGACTAGGAGAGGGTAGGGGGAGTAAGAGATTTATACTAGAGAACGATTAATTGATGAACCATTTAACACAATTTACACTCAATGACTCTATATGGATAGAAAGATATCATGGATCATAATTCTGCCTGGATTGTACATATATTCCCTTATTTCCCTTGGATAAGCAAAATTCCTAAAATCTGACATATTGACACAATTTATTGGGCAAAATCCATATCTCAGTGAACACAGTCCTTTTTTATTAGATTTGATCAAGTTCTGAACCGGATCTTCAATTGTCTATGGAATAAATCAGTATTTTCTTGGTTGTAACTGAACGCTTCCATTTAGTATTTTTGATCATTACCTTTACTGCCATTAGTGTGTTACTTTTTGTATGGCACATTTTGTTGACTGTGCCATATGCACCACGTCCTATCTCTCCCAAATCTTGCAGGTCCGCTGCAGTGAAGTCATATTCCTGCAATAATTAACAATCAGTTATACAAGTGTGCCATATGCACCACGTCCTATCTCTCCCAAATCTTGCAGGTCAGCTGCAGTGAAGTCATATTCCTGCAATAATCAACAATCTTGTCTTATATGATAAGTGTTCATCAGTTTCCACTTCTTCCCAGGTAAAACAAGGCATTAACATGACAAAATGTCACCACCTAGTTGCTCACAATATTGTTAGTTTAATCTCAAGTCAGATTTGAATTTCTGAGAACTTGTAGATGATTTTGAAAAAAAATTGGTCAATTTGAAGCAAGTTGAAAAAATACCTTTTTGACCTTTTTTGACCTTCAGAAGGTCAATGAAGGTCAAATCTAAAGTCAGATTTGAACTTCTGATAACTTGTAGAGGATTTTAAAAAAAATTGGTCAATTTGAAGCAAGTTGAAAAAAGACCTTTTTTGACTTTTTTTTACCTTGAAAAGGTCACCAGGGGTCAAATCTTAAATATAAAGTCAGATTTGAACTTCTGAAAACTTGTAGATGATTTTGACAAAAACTGAAGTCAGTCTAAACAGTATTTGCTAAGTTATTGAAAGTTTTAAGAATTGTTACAGATGCCAACTGACGACCTCCGATCACTTACTGCCGTCACAAAAAACGGAGACCATAACAAAAAATGAAATATTACGTTAATTCATATCTCATATCATAAACCTAAAGTAAATGGATTTGTTATTTTCATTATGATGAGTTTACAGGTTTATGAATTTACAGTGTGCCTTTACAGGTAAAGAGGTACCTTAGTCCTATAATCTCATATTTGCTATTTATGCTAAATCATGGAAAACAACGAAGTCAACTCCAAATGCCCCTGTTGTCTCTAAATTGAGATGTTTGTGGTATTTCTGCAACCTCATAATCCATATCAACATTTTCACAATCTAAGCTGTTTCCTGTTGTCTAATTGGTTAAGCAATATTAGAAATTTTACAATAAACAATGCCAACAATATCTCACATTAAGTAAGGGCACATGACTGAGACGTATCAATTGTTGCATGATTGTGTTATTGTGCTGTAGTGTCTTGATCAGCCGATAGGTGGCATCGTTAGATAGTCTCAAACCAGAAGTGAAATAAAGTTGAGTTTTAAAATCTCCAAATTAAATCGTTTATTATTCTGTTCTAAGGTGAAAAGAATCTTCTATTACATATCGTAACATGGTGTCTAGATGTGGTGCATCATTAGAACATTCACGAGATCTGGAGTATTGAATCATTGCCTAAATAATTAGGATTGACTTCTGGAGAAAAAAAACTCACGTGTTCAGTTTCACTTTTCAATTTTGTGATTCTGAAAAAGGGGATAGATAGTGCATAAAACTGACATTGTTGGACATATATAGTGCTTATAGTGCATTTAACTGACTTTGGATATATTGTTGGACATATATAGTGCTAAATCATGGCTGAAGCTGAAGCTCCAATTGAGGTACCCCAACAGCCCAGGGACAGATTGCGCATCAATCCTCCAGAACAATTCACCTTCTCTAAACCATCTGAGTGGGAGCGATGGATACGTCGGTTCGAGCGATATAGAATAGCATCTGGACTAGCTGATGAACCGCAGGTGAACCAGGTGAATAATTTGATATATTCCATGGGAATGGAAGCTGACGATATATTCTTAAGTTTCACTTTCACCAATGAGGATGATCAGTATAAATACGAGACTGTTAAGTCCAAATTCAGGGACCATTTCGTGATTCGCAAGAATGTAATATTTGAACGAGCGCAATTTCATAAACGTATCCAGGGTGATGGTGAAGCTGTCGATAATTATATCACATCACTTTACACCTTATCAGAGTACTGCGAATTCGACTCTGAAGTAGCAGAGATGTCCAGACGTGAACAATGCATTCGTGATAGACTTGTCGTGGGTATCCGTGATGAGGAACTCAGTAGGAAAATGCAGTTGGACAAAAACTTGACCCTTAAAAAGGCGATTGAAATGTGTAAACAGAGTGAGACAGTCAAAAGACAACAACCTTTGCTTCGTGACAACACTCAAGTTTCAGCTACACCGGCAGTAGACTTCGTCAAATCTAAATACAAGAAGAAAGGCAGAAAGAAGCAATCTACAAGCCAATCTACTCAATCAGTTCCAGCTAACAATAATCATAATACTGCAGTGAAATCATCTGATAATCTGTGCAACTACTGTGGTAATGAAAGGCATAAGCGATCTGAGTGCCCAGCTAATAAATCTACCTGTGATCGTTGCAAAAAGCAAGGTCACTGGGCTAAAGTATGTCGTGCTAACTTGGGAAAAGCCACGAAAGCGATACACTCAGTTGTTGATAATCCCAATAGGGAATATGCTTTCATGGGTTTTCTCGCTACTATGTCAGACAGTATTTCTGATGAATTCTCTGTATCCCTCAAACTTGGTAACTCTGATGTAAAATTCAGATTAGATACTGGGGCAGATGTCTCTGTAGTTTCTCCAGAAACTTTCAATCAGATTTGTACTAATTCTAGAAAGAAACTTGTACCTAGCCCGAAGAAGCTTATTGGAGCTAGTGGGGTTCCACTTCAAGTTCAGGGAAAGTTTTCATCAGACATAACTGGCTCTACTACTCAGCAGGATTTCTATGTTGTTAAAAATGTGAAAACAAATTTGTTGGGTAGGCCTGCTATAAAAGCACTGAATCTGATACAAGTATCTCATGTGTGTAATGTAGAAAATGGCAACAATGCTGATCATGTAAATACTGTGAAAAAGTGTTCTAACACTACTACTGAGAATATATGTAAACATGTGGAAAACCATCCTCAACTGTTTTCAGGCCTGGGTACACTAAAAGGTCCTGAGTATGAGATTAAACTAGAACCAGGAGCTGAGCCTTATGCAATTTTTTCACCTAGACCAATACCTCTACCTCAACTTGATCAAGTCAAACAAGAAATTGACAGACTTCTTAGTCAAGATGTAATATTCAAAGTTGAAGAGCCCACTGAATGGTGCTCACCATTGGTTGTGGTTAAAAAAGATGCATCGAAGGTCAGACTCTGTGTGGATTATTCCAGGTTAAATGAAAGCGTTCAAGTGGAAAAATTTCCCATTAATTCAGTAGATTATACTCTAGGTAAACTAGGTAGTGAGGCTAAGGTAATGTCAAAACTTGATGCTAATTCTGGGTTTCATCAGATTCCCCTCACTAAGAATTCACAGGTACTGACAACCTTCATGACACCATTTGGTAGGTTTGCATACCGTAGAGTCCCATTTGGTATCAATTTTGCCAGTGAACACTACTCAAAATGTATGGCTGAAATATTGGAGGGGTGTGAGGGTACAATATTTCACATCGATGATATTCTTGTTTATGGTTCGGATCAAAATGAACATGACCGTCGTTTGGAAATTGTTCTCTCAAAACTTGAATCCGCAGGAGCAACACTGAATTCTATGAAGTGTCAGTTCAGTGTAAATCGCGTACTTTTCCTCGGGAATGTTATAGATAGCCAGTCTGGTGTATCGCCAGATCCAGACAAAGTACACGCAATACTAGGAATGCCGCATCCTACTGATGTTGCTGGTGTTCGCCGCTTTCTTGGTTGTGTAAATCAGTTAGCAAAGTTTGTGCCAAATGCAGCGCACAAGACTCAAGCATTACGTGAACTTCTACTCGCTGATCGGGAATTTGTCTGGGAATCACCTCAGAAAGAAGCTTTTGAAGCAATCAAATCCGAGCTTTCACAAATGAGAAATCTCAAGTTATATGACGTGAAGCATGATACATGTGTTTCTGCAGATGCGTCAAAGTTTGGCTTAGGTGCGGTTTTGTCTCAGAAAACTCCTCAAGGAGAATGGCAACCGGTTTCATTTGCATCTTGTACCATGACCAAGACAGAGCAGAATTATGCTCAGATTGAAAAAGAAGCTCTAGCTCTAACATGGGCATGTGACAAATTCTCACCATTTCTCATAGGTAAGCCATTTGAATTACAAACCGATCATAAACCGTTGGTACCGTTGCTAAGCAACAAGAGATTAGATGAACTTCCTGTTCGAGTCCAAAGATTTCGCATTCGTCTTATGCGCTACAGATTCAAAATAACTCATGTTCCGGGCAAAGAATTGATCGTTCCGGATGCGCTATCACGTGCGCCATTGTCTGAAAATGGTGACACAAATGTTCTTCAAAGTAGTGCGGAAGCAATGGTAAGCTATGTATATGAAACATTGCCTGCTACTGACAAACGTATCTGTGAAATCATACAAGAACAGCAAAATGATGTTATTTGTAAACAAATCATTGAATTCACAAAGGAAGGGTGGCCAGAAAAGTGTTCTATTCCTGGGGCATTAAATAGCTACTTTCCATTGAGAGCTGAGTTCAATATGGTTCAAGGTATTCTCATGAAGGGTGTCAGAATTGTAATTCCAAGTTCTATGCGTTTAGACATTCTTGAGAAACTTCATACAGGCCATCAAGGTATTAGTAAATGTCGTGAAAGAGCAAAAATGTCTGTATGGTGGCCAGGCTTAAGCCAAAATATCAAAGATGTAGTATTCAAATGTACTAAATGTGCTGAGTATCGTTCTAATCAGACTGAGCCAATGATTCCTACAGTGTTTCCTGACTATCCATGGCAAATTGTTGGGTCAGATTTATTCTATCACAGGGGTCAAAATTGGTTGATTCTGATTGATTACTTTTCAAGGTACATTGAGATAGCTAAACTACATGGGTCTACATCACATGATGTCATTACACATATGAAGTCCATTTTCTCAAGGCATGGGATTCCTGAAGTGGTTAAATCTGATAATGGGCCATGCTATGCATCTAGTGAATATTCAGATTTTGCACAAGATTATGGTTTTGACATCATTACAAGTAGTCCAATGTATAGCCAGAGCAATGGTGAAGTGGAAAGGGGGGTAAGGACTGCTAAAAACCTGATTAAAAAGTCAGTTGATCCCTATCAAGCCTTACTGGCATACAGATCCACTCCATTGGCTAATGGTTATTCACCATCTGAGTTACTATTTGGTAGAAAGTTGCGTACAAATGTACCTGTTTCTCCTTCAAAACTAGTGCCACGCTGGCCATATTTGAAAGAGGTAAGACAGGTAGAATATAATAATCGCCAAGTAACCAAGCAAAATTATGACAGGCATCACAGTGTGTCAAGATCAGTGTCAAAACTACAACCAGGCTCTAATGTTTATATAAGAGACATGAAATCTCATGCTACAGTGCTCAAGAAGCATGATTCTCCAAGGTCTTATGTAGTTCAGCCTTACAGCTCTAATCATCCTGTTAGAAGGAATAGAAAGTTCTTGACACCCTGTGACAAACCACCATATGTTGATGTAACTCCAGAGTTGTTTCAGGAGACAAGTGATAAAACACATTCTGCAAGTGAGTCTCTTGAAGTACCTCAGGAAGTAAGTGTTGGTAAATCTCCCATAGTGTCTAAAAGTGAACAAATTCAACATAGTGATTTAGACTTGCCAATTGCTATTAGAAAATCACAAAGGACAATTACAAAACCACTTAGGTATCAAAGTTGAATACTTAAAGAGGGAGATGTTGCATGATTGTGTTATTGTGCTGTAGTGTCTTGATCAGCCGATAGGTGGCATCGTTAGATAGTCTCAAACCAGAAGTGAAATAAAGTTGAGTTTTAAAATCTCCAAATTAAATCGTTTATTATTCTGTTCTAAGGTGAAAAGAATCTTCTATTACATATCGTAACATCAATGAAGAATGAGAATATTTTTTTGAGAAATATGGTATGCTAGACACATTAGCTCAATAAGATATAAAAAAATATTTTGTTGTATGTGTTAAGATGAACACCTATATGAACCTTTCACAATTTTTAAATCGTGGCTATGGCCCTTTTGACATCACATTTCCACCATGTGTATGTTTTATACTCACTTTATCTGGTGAGATCTTCAGTTTTCCAGCAGAATCAATGCTTTGTGATCTCAGTCTCTCTCTGGAAATACAAACAAGAAAAATCATTGTCATTATCCTGCATTATTGCATTTCACCCTGTATATACAGTAGTATGTAGTATGGCGATGACAGGAAAAGCCCCGAGTGTTGAGCATATGCAGGGGGTATATACATATAAAGCAAGGGTTATAGCATACAATGCAAGGGGTGTATCATATATGGCAGGGGATGTAGCATATAATGGTGGGGGTATATGGATATAAAACTAGGGTTATAGCATACAATGCAAGGGATGTATCACATAAGGCAGGGGATGTAGCATATAATACAGGGGAATAGTGTATACTGCAAGGGATGTAGCATATAATGCTGGGGGTATAGTATATAATGCAAGGGATGTAACATATAGTGCAAGGGGTATAACATATCAGCCAGGGGATGTAGCATATAATACAGGAGATGCAGCATACGTGGACATCACATGTGCCTCAAAACTTTTTCTGCCTTCAATCTTCCTCAAAACTATCATTTCAGTTCCTTCAGACAATTGCCTTGAACCAAACTTGTAAAATAATATATATCAAAATCAAACATGATTACAGTGAATAAGATTTGGAAACAATCTAGACACATTTTAAAGTAAGGGCACTAAGATAAAATAACACAAAGGCTCTGACATTTTGATAACAAGGTGTTGATAGTATATTGTCAATTGATTATTTTCTGACAATTCCATTTATCGATTAATCCAGTAAACAGATTACCGTTTCTTTTAAACATATGACCATTTTGTTTTATACACATAATTGGTCTGGTATTACACAATGACCTTTTTGGTATTACATATATCATATATTAAATATTACCAGTTTAGTATTACAATTATTACAAGTTTGATATAACAAATATTACAAGTTTGGTATTACAAATATTACCAATTTGGTATAATACATATTACCAGTTTTATAAATAAATATTACCAGTTTGGTATTATACATATAACCTGTCTGGTATTTTAAATATTACCAGTCTAGTATTACACATTACCAGTTTGGTCACCTTTGACACAATATAATAATTTTATGTAATAAAACAAAGCAATAGACTGGGAGTCAGTCACAATCTCTATCATTTGGTTGAATTTGGGTTTTTTCATTCATTAACCCTAGGTCTGACAAAATATCTAATAATTATGATTTATTAGTGATAATGTTATAAAAAAAGGGGAGACAAATACCTTTGAAGCTCAAATTGAGAAAATTTGCCCAACCGTTTTCTTAATAACACAAAACACAAAGTTAGACAATAAGTAGTGGCACTTACAGTTTTAAACTCAAGTTGCTCATTTTTTAATTGCAAATTTGTTTAACTGTATAATCATTTCAACGTGTCTACGACATATTAATAACAAAATTGTAACAAGATAAGAACAAGCCAACATTAGAGTTCATATCTAACTTAAGTATAATCTTTACAGATATTCCTTGTGTGGTCCAAAGCTGCAAATAACATGGTGTCATTTGAGTAAATTGAGTTATATATGAGTTTCCTGTTTTCACCAAATGAAACTGAATATCAGAACTGAATGGGATAATCTCTTAAAATTCTTTCGAAACAGTGGGGACTAAGAATGTCTAAGAAAGAGCATTTGACACTAATTGATATTGCATGATTTCTAGAAGCTTTTTGATTTCTCCACATTAAATATTTTGTTTCAATTTCTTAAACAAATCCAGAATTTGTAAACAAAAAGTTATACTATATGCAAATGCTGGTTATATAGATGTTTTGTGTATTAAACTATAATTTTAGAGAAATGTGCTTTAAAATATTGGCATTGACTCCTTCAAGAGCAATAATCAGCAATGTGTAGGCTAGCATTTTTGCTTCTTGAAGAGCTCATCTTGGTAGTAATTACAATTATGTACTAGGTTAGTAACTGGGTATCAGTATTATGTATAGGTCTCATGAATGAAATTATAATTTGCCCGAAGAGAATCTTATTGGAATGGTATTATTTAGTATATGCAATTTCCTCTATGAATTATTACATGGTACTTTTACACATCCAGAAATCAGTGACTCAATAGCATTAACGGGATTGTGGTCGGCCCCAGATGTCAAATTAATGGTCACTAAATGCACAATATCATATGATGCATCAGACTTACAACTTTCTCTGAATACAGATTATAAATATGCACAGCAATTAATGAATCATGTCTTCTGGGCTCATCTTGACTTGTCAAAGACATTTTCCAAAGAAAGACCATGGGGGGGGGGGGGGGGTAGTATATATATCCCCTGTAGTGTCTGGGGATGAGCTCAAGAAACTCAGTTTTCAAAATATTTCCTGAATATGCATGCGTCAGATAACATGTCTCCTAAATTTCTCTGAAAATTTTCGAATTAAATCTGTTCTATTGAGTATCCTAGTGTAGTGTAGCTGTGATTCCGTGAAGAAGAAGCCACAACAATATCTAACCTACCTGATGCAAAGGATTTCTCAAGACGAGCGCAACGCATCTTGCAGAAAATCGCACTCAAACCAGACTACCCCTTTGTCTTCACCCGGCAAGGAAAGTTTTTTACGACATTAACCTTCCCCAGCCAGTCCACCTCTCAGTATCCAAAATCAAATAAAGTCAAAAATGAGAACACGAGGATTATCTACTGATCAAGTAGTGACTACTGGAGGTGATACAGAGGCAAATAAAAACCACCATGAACGACATGACAGTAAGTCAAAAAAGGGTACTAAGTCTCGCGAGAGGTCAAACGAGAAGTCATCAAAAATTGAAAAACTGAAAAAAATTCTTTCACCGAAATCGACCTCGGAGAAGCACCAGAGCGCGAATGATGTGAAACCAGCAGCTGGTAAGCATAAACCTTCTATTCAACATAAATGTGACAGATGTGAAGTCCCTAATTCTAATCTCCTAGGCTGTGAATTTTGTGATCTCTGGTTTTGCAACTCTTGTGAAAATCTCGATGAAAATGATTTAGCCCTACTTAATGCATCAACTAATGGAACCCACTGGTACTGCCATGAATGTGAACCACAAGTTAGGTTTATCCTTGAGCAAGCTAAATCGGGAATTGTCAATGTTGCAAAGTCAGTTGCCCACTCCCTGGAATCCATCAAAAAGAATCAAAGTCAGACAAATAGGAACGTGGAGTCAGTTTCAACTAAAGTTAAGAACCTCCAAGATCTGTATAACAATGTAATCTTAAAAATTGACACACTCAACGATTCAGTAAATGAGATCAACCTAGAAAAGGGAGCCGTGGAAAAATCACTAAAAGAAGTAGCCCAAATTAGTAAATCTTTCTCCACAGTTGTGAAAAAGTCAGAGAATAAAATCTATCCTAATGTAGTGGAATCAGTAAAAAACGGTTTCAAAAGTGTCAGTGACCAAGAAAGGCGAAGGAAGAATATTGTCCTCCACAATCTGGAAGAGTTCACCTCACCCGAATTTGGAACTGCTCAATCACAGGACCTTGAAGAAGTCAAACAAATATTTGAAGATGGTCTGGAACTCCCCAATATCCAGATTGTCAAAACAATGAGACTAGGCAGAAAGCTCAACAAACCAAGACTCCTTCTTGTTGTGATGAAAGATGACACTTACACCGGCCAAATACTGTCCCGCGCACGAAAGCTCAGATATGAAGGTCGATGGAACAACGTGTACGTACACCCCGACTTATCACCAGAAGATCGTGAAATCTCCAGGAAACTGAGAGAGGAACTGAAAAACAGGAGAGAAGCAGGCGAGGAAAATTTAATCATCAGACGAGGGAAAATAGTGTCTATACCTCAGGATGAGCGAAGCCAATACCAACGAGACACTGTTACCCAAAACCCACGAGGCAGGGGTGGATCAGCACCTAGAGGTAGAGGGGGATCATCAAGGAGAACCTACAGATCTTCACCTCCTAGGCATCAAGATCGCCAAAGCACACGACTCGAATACCGTGATGACTCTATACCACACTCAAAGTCAACCATATCCCTCACCTCAGTAAAAGCAGACGATAACCCAACACCTCAACCAAATGAAGTTCAAGTCATCCCCAAAACTGCAAAGCCCCAATCAGTACAATACCATGATACTGGAGCGAAACCACCTGATGTGAGGCCCAAAGATATAAAGAAGACAACCACCATACCAACAGTTGCAAAGCCTCAACCAGTACAAGATCATGAAACTGGAGCCAAACCACTTGATGTGAAGTCAAAAGATACTAAGAAGTCAACCACAGCACCAACTAAAAATGACCAGTCAACACCAATTGAAAACCCTTTTCAAACGCTGTGTGACCTTGGTGAAGATGACTCACCACTACAGGACAATGAGGACCTAGATCCATCTGACACATGCAGTGTCATATCTAGCTGCTCAGACAACACAGGTTTTTATGAGAGCTCAACAGAAATTGAAGACACAGCACCCAGTGACAACTTATCCAAACCTAAGAGTACACCAATTACCTCAGTATGGACCAGTCCTTCTCCACCTTTATCCCAAAACTGTGGAAAAGCCCCAAATGACCTTGATGGCCTCTCCCAGGCCATAGGTAAGCAGTGACTAGGCAACCACCCCCCTGTAAAATTTTTGTACAGTAATGCAGATCAGTTATCTAACAAAATCAAAGAGCTTGAATTAACTGCAGAATCTGAAACTCCCGACGTCATAATTGTAACCGAAGCCCTATGTAAGAATAGAAAAGATCCAATGACACTAAGTGAACTCCAGATATTAAATGACACCTATGAATGTTACAGAAATTTTGATGATACAGCTGAATCACAGAAAAACAAAAGGGGTATAGTTATATATACTAACAATTCGATAGAAGTACAGTCTTACGAATCAACAACCAGTAACTTCAGTGAATATCTAGCCTACACACTGACCTTCAAGGACAAAACCAAGTTATTACTATGTACCATCTACAGAAGCCCTAGCAACCGCGGTACCACAGACCAACAATCAGAACTGATAAAACTTACAAAGGAACTTGCCTCATCAGACCATACCCAACTTTGCATTATAGGAGACTTCAACCTGCCCGAGATCAACTGGGAAGACTGGACATCATCTGCATGTGATGATCACATCAGTACAAACTATGTTAATTGCCTCCAAAACCTATTTCTACACCAACATGTTAGTGAGCCCACACGGAAACGTCATGGACAACGGGACACCCTTGTCGACCTTATCATCACAAAAGAAGAAAACGCCATTAGTGATATAAACTATGATGCACCACTGGGACTCAGCGACCATTTAACTCTTAAGTTTAGCCTAACCATGACTGACCAGAGGCCCGAACCCCCCACGACCAGCTCCCCAACAGCAAGGAACTTCAATAAAGGGGACTATGATACAATCAGGGAAAACTTAAGACATATCAACTGGTCAGAAAGATTTAATGGGAAAACCACTGAAGAAGCCTGGAACTTACTTCACAAAACTATCATGGATAACATTGAAGCCAATGTACCACACAAAGTCCAAAAGAAAAAAAGGAAAAAGTGGATGACACTTAGAGGACTAAGACAACTACGCAAAAAAGCTAAAGCCTGGAGGAAATACCAAGAATCTAGGACATACCAAGATTACTTAAAAGCAAAGAGAACCAGCAACGAAACTCGCAAGCTATGCAGACAACTATGTAAAGAGTTTGAAAAAGACCTTGCCAAGCAAATTAAAGTCAACCCCAAAGCTTTCTGGGCATATGTAAATTCTAAACTCAAGACACATCCTAAAATCAGTACACTGGACAATCCCGATGGAGGTACTGCAGATACCAATACAGAGAAGGCAGACATCCTGAATGACTATTTTACCAGTATGTTCACCATAGAGGATGATACCAACATCCCACATATAATCCCCAAAACACCATCCACACTGGAAACTATAGAATTCACAGAAGATCAAGTCCTAAAGAAGCTTAGAAAGTTAAAATCATGTAAATCCCCAGGACCAGATAATATCCCAGCTCGACTTCTCTTAGAATGTTCACATGAACTAGCTCTCCCCCTCAGTCTACTCTTTACCAAGTCCCTAAACTCTGGAAAACTACCTACAATTTGGAAAGATGGAGAAATTACACCCATACACAAGAAAGGAAAGAGGTCTGCACCAAGTAACTACCGTCCAATCTCATTAACTTGCATTGTGTGTAAAATAATGGAGTCAATAATAAGAGACAACATGGTGAATCATATGTTAATACATGACCTCATTACTGATGCACAACATGGGTTCCTGCCTGGCCGATCCTGTACAACTCAACTGTTAACGGTTCTTGAGGACTGGACCAGTATACTAGATTCCAGTAATCCATTAGACGCCATCTATTTTGATTTTTCGCGGGCCTTTGATAGTGTACCCCACAAAAGACTACTTGACAAACTAAGCTGTTACGGCTTCAGAGGAGATCTCTTAAAGTGGCTCACAGCATTTTTAACAGATAGAAGACAACGAGTCAAAGTTAATGACAGCCGTTCTACCTGGAGCCAAGTCACTAGTGGAATACCTCAGGGAACCTGCCTCGGGCCACTGGCATTCATCATTTACATCAATGACCTACCTGAGCATGTTGAATCTACGGTAAAAATATTTGCAGATGATACAAAGCTTTACAGGGCTATCCCGAGAGAACAAGATATCCAGCAGCTTCAAGCAGATGTAGATGCACTGGTTACCTGGTCTAACAAATGGCTACTCAGGTTCAACACAAGTAAATGCAAGGTTCTCCACTTCGGAAAAAATAACAGTCAACACCAATATACTATGGACCAGATACCCCTAGAGAAAGTATCCCAAGAACGGGACTTAGGCATCACCATTGACAACGAACTGAAATTCCACAACCATGTTTCAAACTGTACAAATAAAGCAAATAAGATTCTGGGAGCCATCAAGAGAACATTCACAAACAAAGATGCAGAGATCTTCCTCCCCCTATACAAAACACTTGTCCGTCCCCATCTTGAATATTGCACCGTGGCTTGGAATCCCAGGTACCAGACAGACATTGACAAAATTGAAAAGATACAAAGAAGGGCCACTAAAATGATCACAGGCATGTCCGATCTTTCATATCCAGACAGACTGAAGCAACTGAACCTTTTCTCCATGGCCTACAGGAGGAAAAGAGGAGATTTGATCCAAGTCTACAAGCTCATGAACAATATAGACAACATTGATTACTCCCTATTCTTTACTCTAAACCACAGTACAACAAGAGGTCATAGCCAGAAATTTTACAAGGACAGATCAAATTTTGCACTAAGACAAGGTTTCTTTAGCCAACGGATTGTCAACGAATGGAATAATCTCCCTGAAAAAGCAGTTACAGCCCAGACACTAGATGACTTCAAGGCAAAGATTGATGCCCACTATTACCCAGACATGAAGTAGAGTACAAGCGAGTAGGATGACCAGTTTACACTCACTAGGTTCTATTTTGGTTCAATGTCAGTTTTTATGAATCACAAGTCCCTAACAAATTACCAGTACAGTTATAAGTCTTTGGGAAATAAAATACCAAAGCAGTTCTTTGAAATTATATGTCTTGAAGGGAGGAACCCACAGGCACATGCCTTAAACTCCTAAAACGATGATGATGATGATGATATGGTTATAAATATTGCACTGATGAAATTATCAATCGAATTACCAAGACAAAATTAAAAGACAATTTCAAGACAATATCAGAAGAATGTTAATGTACAAGAAATTACATGAATCATCATTAATTAATTGATAAACAAATACTTTGAACTGTCACTATCAGAGGAGGCAGATGAAAATAGACATGATAAGTGAGATATATGACACTGGCTCTAGCAGCCCTGTACATTCTTTGACTCCCACGCATTTCCTGGGGTCGGATCTTAAACATATCATATCTTCTGTTCAAAGACTCAAATTATTTATGCCTTTCTAAACACCAATAACTACCACACTGCCTTTTATTGTTATATTCTACATCATTCATTTATTGCAGTGTTTAATGAGTTGGACATTTTGTTTTTTCTTCAAAATAATAAGATCACACTTGACACAGAACCACTGTAAATTTTAATTTACACTTTCTTTATCAGAATATAGGGCCTAATTAATATAGAAATGAATCATACATTGTGGGGCCACTGATGTCCAAGGAATGTAGGTATTATGTATTAAATTTACTGATACATGTATGGTAGCAAGGGCAAATGTGTTAAAAATTACAAGGCACACACTTTGAGGTTTTTATAAGGATTGTTTTGAACTTGGAGATAATACAAAATGTTAATGATATCCGGTTTTCAAACTTGTGGTTTTTCTTTTTATATCAATATGCTATTTGTCATTTTTAAGTTGAACCATCTGCTATTTTGAAAAGTATAATTATCCAGTAGACGCAGAATTTTATTTTCTATTTGCTATTTAAATATATTTCATTGTTTGCAACAATACATGAAAAATATAATTTGACAGAATGTAAAAGTACAAATGGTAATTCAATATCTTTTTTGTTCTTTCAATATACTTGTAATCAAATTATTTTAAGAAGCATTGTTTGAACAACATTGGCCATTTGTGAGCATATATTATGACCTTTTACAAATAGAATTACAAAAGATTAGTTAGTTGCAAGAAAGAACTTTTTATATCTTGACATCAACATACAAGTATTTTCTACATTTCAGTGTTTTCTCAGAATTTTTTTCATGAATTACATGGAGGAGCAAAATTTTCACTTCAACAATTTCATCTAAAGTTAGTCAAGATATGCCATTTCTTATTAATACATTTCTCATTGTTTGTGCTATTCAGAGAGTAGTAATTTCTACTAGGCTCTAGGCCTGAGGGTAGAATGATATAAGACTACATACAGAACTGTACTTTGTACATGTACTTACATCTGTGTTCTGTGTCCCATGCTGGCCAAGGTATGTCCAGATGCAACCTGCTCTACCCGTGGGTTATGCGGAATAGGGAGTGACATTGGTACAGCCATTGGTCGTGCAGGCCTAGGCATTGCTCCATCAAAAGACAGCTTCAGATTTTTTCGTTTTACATCTGCAAAATAAAATCAATTGGCTGGGTTACATTTTTTGTTTGATGAAAATTTGATGATAGAAGCATCTTGAAACTTGAATATAAAATCACACCCCTATTCAAGATGACGGTAGGTATATAACAGGTAATGTGCCAAGATATGTACATTCTATATGCAGACCCGTAGCCAGGGGAGGGGGAGCTGGGGGAGTGGAAGCTTCCCCACTGGCCAGAAATTCTTCCAAAGTCATGCATTATTTCACCATTCTGAGCTCTTTTTGCATCAATTTTTAAAAACTAATTTCCCCCTTGCTAAATCCTGGCGAAGGTGAAGTACATGTACATATGGAATGGATGATATGCACATGTGTGCTTGTGAATAAAATAGCAATTTGTTTAATAAGCAATTTATTTGAATGACATGGCAACATCCTATTTGTAATAATCATAATTTCTACTAAAACAGAATCAATATTATAAATAACAACTTTTTCAAAATTATCTCAGTCTCGTGTTTTTTGGCTTTTTACATCATTCGTCATTTCATTTTTATTAAAATATTTTATAGAAGGGTTAAGAATAGATTTTCACCCCCTCCCTCAATGACAGATTTCTTAAATGTTTAAACATTATCAAACAAAAATGAAATTTAGCTTGAAACATCCATATCTACAAATTGTTAAAAAATGATTTGTGGTCACACAAAGGTCATATAAACCTTATCTATTTAACTTTTAGATTTCTTAAAATTCTGTTTTACGAGTGATTTATAGCCATTATTACTCCCACGGACACCCAAAAAATATAAAATTTAAAATGGAGATTGTCAAAAAGAAAGTCGAACTTGTGGAATATGAATCAATGACTGCTGACTTTTTATTCATAAGTTTGATAGTTCAACCTCCCACCTGTAGCGAACAGGGTTGAGGTAATATCGGAATAAATTTGATATATTTGATATTCTTCTATAGTGCGCAGGCAGCCATACACAATTTTACATTTTCTAAAGATTTAGGGTAAATTTCAGCAGTTAAAGAGACTCTAACCATAGGATAGCACAATCAAGACCCATCTTTAATCAATGTATTACAAAATATTTATTACGTAAATAATCATGAGGGGTCATAGTCACTTGATATCTGAATATTTGGTACTCTGAATGGGAATTAGCCAGCTTACCTTAAATATTTGATGATAACTTACTAATTGTTTCAGCTATAGTCTTTTCATTATACCTTCCCCCTATATTTTCTATCAAAATTTAATGAAATTCAGCTTCTCGAAGTCCTGTTTCAGACTTGTGTTTACTAATTTGACTGATGAGATGAGCCAAAATGAGTGATCAAAGATTGTCTTTTTAAGTACACATTGAACAAAACATGGCCGATCCATGAGGCTTACACCCGTGGGCCACTGGGATACAGGACACCTGATCTAACCCTAACAATTCTAGCAAACATTTGTTTGTCTGGCAGACCTACACCAATAAACTTTTAGAACTTTGGACTTATCAAAAACATCTTGGGAGATGGGGAGTTGGAACTACAAAATATTCTGAGCTGTCAATTATGTAATCAACTCGTGGTTTTGTTGAATTGTGACATCTATGTTATGTTATAATTAATCTAACTGTTCGTAAATCTACATGAACATGTAATTCATTAATTGTGAAATTCTAATTTGATGAATGCATTCATAAACTTGAGTTCTCTCACACTTTCTTCTGATGTTGTTTACCACCAATGAAGGTGAGCAATACCTCTTGGGTATAACCTGTGTATATATGGTCGTAATTAACGCATGTTATCATGGAAAGCAGACCCAGTAAAACCTCCTTGAAGGTGCCCTGTGTTCTTTTATATGCACTCATACATAGTCATACAAGTACACACCACTATCCTTTGAATGAGTTGGGGACAACTCAGTCAAACACCCTGAGGTACGCAAACAAGCAAATTAAGCTTGACCCGGAAATCGAATCCGGGACTTATTGCATGGTCGGTACATGCACTACATACCGCTGAGCTATACAGGTGGACTTAACATCTGATATAAACCATTTCATATACATATGGTCAGAATGGCGAGCTACAAGGTGATTGAAAAGTACATCTGTCATTTCCTATTGAGTTGCATCACAATCGACCATGCCAATAATCGAGAAAACTTTTGATTTTCACCTGTATAGATAAACTAGAGGCAGAGAGTAAGAACATCAATAACATGACACTGGGTATATATTACACTTTATCCTGTGCCAGGACTACAGTCCTGCGAACGTCTTATTCTTTTGCCTGTACGATTACAACATGGGAGAATTTGCTACGCTTCTTACACTTAAGATACCTATTTCAATAGATTCCTTGGTATTTTAGCATTCTTTTTGTGTAGTTGAATCCACAATTGTCTGGGTTTATCGGCAGAACAAAGAAATTTTCGTTTTTGATCGCAATATTTGCGTGTAATATTTAACTTATTTCAACCTTCAAATTCTTCCATTTATTGGTTATCCGGGCCACTTCCGGGTCAGCCAAACGGGGAATCCCCTTTAAAATCCAACCGCCATCTTGGAAAGTGATGGAATATCTCTCAATGAAAAAGAAAAATGTTCCCATTCTGCCGATATACCCAAACAATTGTGGATTCAACTACACGAAAACAATGCTAAAATATCCAGGAATCCATTGAAGTAGGTATCTTAAGTTTTAGAGGCGTAGATAATTCTCCCAAGTTGTAATCGTACAGGCAATAGAATGCGCTCGTTACAGGACTATAGTCCTGGTAGGGGATAAATTACACTATGTTTTTCAGAGGAATGATGAGATTGATACTCAAGCTATATAGCTTTACCATATTCTATGGCCACTGAGTGGAATTGGCTAGAGACTCGAGTAAATATAGCTAGGCCTAACTTTGATATGACTCTATGGTTTGACTTGAGCAATGATGAAATAAATTCGTCACTTACCGATGATTCATCAAATGCTACCAATACTTTGCAATCAATTTACCAACACTACTGAATCAATCGAACATTATATGACTCAGAATTATGTGATGAAAACTTTGAAAACTTACTTGAAGTTGGGGTCCCTGTGTCCATTGGAACTGTTCTATCTTCGGCCATTTTGAAAATTCCTCGGAAAATAGACGAAACAAATTGCTTGAATCCTTCCCCAGCCAGTGTCCAACAAGGCCGGGACTTGTCCTGGAGTTTCCCTGTGTTCTGGTGTATCTACAGGCCAATATCCATTCAGTAAACTTCACTTACAAGCCGGTGAGAGTCATGTCTTTGGATGACTCATCGATACTCGAGGAAAATCCCTGTGACGTCATTCAATTTAGATAGTTTCACCACTTTTGGATAGATGTCTCTGCAAGCTAATAGAAAGACCCCTTCTACTAAATACAAAACAGACTTTACATCCCGCGAGAAAATACGAGAACTGGCAAATTTGAGGACTTTTGGAAAATATTTTCAGGTATAGTCTATTTAGTCATTTATCTGTCTACTGACTTAGCTTGGTAGATTGAATATGCTGTGTTACTTTTTATTGCATTTAATTGTACCTTACTATTTAATTGAAATTTTGTAATGTTTATTTTATTGGAGAAATGGTTCCTCTTAGGGGAGGCATCAAAAGTTCGATGTCGGATCGGAAACTAAATAAATCTAGCCTAGACTAGTTGACGCAGACCCCCCCCTCCCCCCCAAAACTAAATACCGGGTAGTTTAGAAAATACATCACCAAGAAAATGCATTTTCTAAAATTTTGGGGCTCCCAGAGGGTAAATTTAAATTATGCATTTTACTTTTAGATTTTTATGAAACAAATTGCCTACATCATTTTGTATGTTGTAATATTATACATTAATTAATAAGAGGTACTAAAGTATTACTACTACACATTTAATTTTTAAATGTTATTATCGAATTCAAATATAAATCAACTATTTTAACTGAGCCAAGTATTGGATGATTGGAGGCAGTATTGATCAAATTTGCAAAGGGTTAATTTTATTCTCACCTGTCTCAACAAAACAGGAATATCCCAGAATTCATACAGTCATACTTCTCTTATGTAAACTATATCATTGATTGGCCAAGGGTTCATCTATAATCCTGGGAAGTGACCTCTTCTGGACGAAAAGCGTGGGAACATCTGATATGACCAGTTCCCATAACAGTGTGTCACCTCACTGTATGTACAGTGATCGCCTACTATTAAAAGTGCGTGATCAAAGACTCGACAAGATGCGCAAAATTCGAAATGTCGGAGGAAAGGTATGTTTGTTTCTCTTTTCTTTACCACCTTTATGACATTTTACCTACAGATGGTATTCCATATGCTGTATAAGAGACTCAAGATTCATTTGGTAACAGGATTCGGTGATTGGTTCAACCGGAATACCTGAACTGAGTTAATAAATGAAGCAAAATCAAAAAAACCGCCGAATGAAAATGTATATTTCACCAAATTTTCTGTTTTTAGATTACCAAAACCACAAAACCAACATGCTTATGGTTAATATACATAATACTTAACATTACATGCATATCAGACGTTCCAACTCCCCTTCAGTATCGAGTAAGAAGGATGTTATGAAAACAATTTATGATCAGCCAAGTGGGTGATTTTACCATGTGGATTCTAATGATATGTTCTTTGCATTTCAGAGTGGTTGGGTTTACATGATTTTACTGTCCTTCATTACGAACTCCTAAATTTCAAATCATTATAAACCACCTTGTAGAACATCATGAAGAAGAAGAGATGAAGATGAGAAAGATTACTGAAAATAGAGGCAAATCTAGAATGATAACAAGAATTCGAAATTTCTCTGGAATAATACCAAATGAAGTGAAATCAATCAATAAACACATACTTGTAGAAAGTGATGAATTCATGACAATTTCAGTGATTGACAATAATCGAATGAAATCATCCAGAATCTCTGATTCAACAACTGCTACAAAATCAAATAAAATTACCAATGAAATTGCAATAGAACGAGAATATCAATTAGTAATGAAATGACAATAAATGATTCTGAAATTACAATAGACTCTCATTCTCCAATAGTGTCCACCAGTTAATCTGAGATGATACCCCTCTGAGCAAAGCCTAAACTGGAACTTTTACTCGGTCCCATCGATCCACATAACTCTGTCATTAGAGATAATAGCATGGTATTTATTTCACATTTTGTAGAGTTTCTCTAAAAACGCTCACTAATCGTTTATTTTGCATTCGATTACATACAATTCTAAAATTCTCAAGCTAATCATTTATAGACCTTAGTTGACTGAATATTGAATACCTAAGAGGAGTTTTCCCTTATACCTGTCATTTATATATGACCCAAGTTAGCCACCTCGTGGTGAAACTGGGAACTGACTACTGGCATCTACTGAAGGTTATTACGTCATTACATTACTTATTGATACCTTGCTGCAAAAGAATGATTTAACTCCCCAATGAAATAGATAATGTACAATTCAGATTTTATATTTTATTACAATTACAATTACATTACAATTCGACAATCATCTTGGATGCCAAGGTGTATAGTTCTCATACTTTGGGATCAGAGGCGTAAAATAAATGGACTAAAATGGAACTTAAAAAACAGTTCCACTTGTAAGGTGTTACGCTTCAAGAGGTGTTTCACTTAGCAGGTTCTAGAGGTTCAGTGTATATATCATTTAATGGTAATGTATTCAAATCTAGGCAGACAAACAAAATGAACACACACACAGTGACCATTTAATTGACTGAATCAGTTTGGACATACATTTTGCGAGATCCCCATTTTCTTCTCTTGAAAAGCATATAGATATGGGTGTATGGTTTGCTGAAACTCACGCTATTGGCTGATCCATTCGTTTCTGTGTTAAAATATTTATTCCATGTTATTGAAGGGGAAACGTGAATTTCATCATGGTCAAATGGAAGTCCAAGACCCTACCTAAGTATAAAAAATTAAAGAGAGTAAAAATGTTCTATTGTTTTTGATATTTTCAAGCTTTTTAAATAAAATAACACATATTGTATCGCATTTATATCTTTAAATTGTAAAATCAATAACATATACGAAAAATGGTCAAACTAATATATATTTCTCAAAGCATATGGGTGTTATTGTGCCTACAAAACCTAATTGAATCACCAGTAGCCTGTAATATAAACACAAATAAATCTTTTAAAAGTAACCGTTACAAAATATTTGAATTTTGCGCATCTTGTCGAGTCTTTGATCACGCACTTTTAATAGTAGGCGATCACTGTATATACAGTGCATCTGTCATTTCTCTGGAATGATGTACACTTTCCTCCAAAAGATTGACAACAATTGTAGTACAGTAAAACCTGTATATCTGAACACTTGGCTAATCCGAACACCTCCCAATTTTAACATTTTTTGGTCCCGTTTTTTCTCCCATTGACTCAAATGTTTAAAAAACTTGAAATATGAACATCTCCCAATTTTGACAGTGAACAGTCATGTTTGAAAATTAACCTATCTAATCTGAACACATAAAATATCACATGTTCCATAAATTGATCAAATATTTGAAAAAAACTTGAACGATCTCACTCATGGTGGGGCTTTCTAGGATGACTAAATTCATTTGAATCAGATTTTTATGTCACTCTAATGCCAAAGCTAAGTAGTCAAAAGAACTATAATATTCAATCACTGGGAATTCACTATATACAACATTGAAATCTGTGTATCATGCCACCCCTGCAAAATAATTGACTTGCCCACTTGGTCTCTTGGATCCACTTGCAAAATATATATAGTAGATGTGAATATTTTCGAAACAAATGAGTGATATATACACATATTTTGTACCAAATGCGTGACATAAACGGCAATCGCGTGCAAAGACCGAACGGAATGCGTTCGCTTTTTTCGCCATTCGGTATTTTACCGTGTTGGCCAGGGGGGAGATTCCCCAAAGATGCCCTATCATATTAGCACATTCGAAAACAAATTTTATAAACAGGCCTCAATTTGCCGTTGAAATGGATCTCCAAATTTTCACTGTAGTTTTATGAGTATTCTTTACAAGTATGGATCGTGTAACTTCAATAGTATTACCGTAGGTTTGAAATGACGATGTTGAACTGATGTAAACGCCATTCCCACGATTTCAAATTTAACTCTGCGCATGCGCAGCACTGAGAAAGCATGTGCCCATGATTGTTCACGTGATCGAATCCTGCAATTTGATTGGAGATGAAAAAAGCACTTGGTGAAAAATGTGTATACCCTCTGGGAGCCACCAGCATGCATTTTCTTGGTGTTGTATTCTCTAAACTACCTAAATACCGTGAAAGTTGATCGCTTACTTCCGGTTTGAGAATTTGAAAAATTATTGTTAAGGTGCTATGGAACTTAACAGGAAATGACAAAACAGGAAGTGACAATTTTTTTTGCATTTTTAGACATTTTTTGAACAAGGATAACAGAGTTCTGTTTTGACCTCCAGTCAATTCAACTAGTTCCAAATACCATTTACAGATCCAGGATCACAATGTTCATGGTCAGAATGACCCTAAACATGAATAAATAACGTTTTCAGCCCTATGAAAATTTGACTGAAAAATAGCTAAAAGTAGGAGGGTAGGAAAGGTCACTGAACAGAATCTTTTGAATTTTTCAGAAAATGTGCCCAATATATTGCTCTAAATGATACAATCTTTGAAAATTTGATATCATTCATAGGAAAAGAAAAAAAATGAAAAAACTGATTTGAAAAGTGATCTATTTTCCTTTTTATGACCGCCATATTTGTTTAAGACAATTTTCAAAAATTTCAAAGATTGTATCAGTTAGGAGCATTATATTGGGCACATTTTCTGAAAAATTCAAAAGATTCTGTTCAGTGACCTTCCCTACGCTCCTACTTTTAGCTTTTTTCAGTCATACTTTCAAAGGGCTAAAAAGGTTATTTCATCATGTTTAGGGTCATTCTGACCATGCGCATTGTGATCCTGGTCATGTAAATGATATGTGGAAATAGTTAAATTGACTGGAGGTCAAACCAGAACCCTGTTATCTTTGTTCAAAAAATGTCCAAAAATGCAAAAAAAAATTCACTTCCTGTTTCGTCATTTCCTGTTAACTTCCATGGCACCTTAAACACGATCTAGTTTTTGTTAATTCCTATCGTAATTTGCGGCTTTTAACAACTATTGATAGAGTCAATACGTCCAAATCCAAACAGGGGGGTAAACACGAACGGGTTCCAAATAATGGCAAGCAGATCATTAAATTGAATAATAGTACCTCTACTACCTCTACATAATACTTATAGCCTGAAAGATACAATATAATGATGTATACCAACAATCTTACAATAGAATAATCAATTATGATGATTTAGGTGTTCGGAATTACCCCCATGCTAGTGTTTGGAATTACCCCCACAAACTCTGTGCGTTTAAATAAATAGATGTCAGATTAATGA